TCACAAAACATTGTTTCAGGAAACAACAGTCATGTACTTTTAAAAAATACCAATGGCATTATTCAGAGATAGAACAATCCTAAAATTTTTATGGACCCACAAAAGACCCTTAATAAAGCAATCTTAAAGCTGGAGGCATCATGCTTCTTGATTTCAAAGCTTTAGTAATTAAAGCAATATGGTATGGCATAAAAACAGACACACAGATCAATGGAACAGAATAGAAGGCCTAGCAATAAATCTACACATATATGGTCATTTATCTCTTTGATAAATGGTGCTGGAATAACTGAACTGTCTCTTGCAAAAGAAATAAACGTGACCACTCTGCTACTCCACACACAAAAATTAACTCAAAACATATTAAGGTCTTGAATGTAAACCATGAAACCATAAAATTCTTAACAGAAAACATAGGCAGTAAATTCCTTGACATAGGAATCTGACACCAAAAGAATAAACAGGTTGAACTATCAAACTAAAAAGCTCTCATATTAGTCTTCTCCACAGAGGACTAACATTTAAAGTATATAAAGAACTTATATAATACCTCAATAGCAAAAACCAATTAAAATATAGGCGGAAGATCCGAATAGACATTTCCCCAAAGAAGACATACAGATAGACAGCTAAGATACACTTTCCCCAAGACATTTAGGTTTACAAAGATGTTCAACATCATTAGTCATCAGGAAATGCAAATCAAAACCACAAAAAGGTTCTATCACCTGCTACCTGTTATAAAGGCTATTATCAGAAAGAAGTAACAAATGTTGGTAAAGATAGAGAAAAGAAAATCCTTGTGCCCTGTTGGTGGGAATATAAAATAATGCAGTCACTATGGGAAAGCAGGTCCCTCGAAAAAGTAAAAGTAGAGCCATCCAGCACTATCTCAGAAAGACAGCCACACTCATTCCTGATGCAGCATTGCTTACAAGAGCCAACTAATGGAAACAACTGAAGTGTCCAGGGACAGGCAAATGGATAATGTGGTGGGGGATGTACGCAGCCTGATTCAGCCATCAAAACCAAGGAAACTCTGCATTAGCGACAATATGGATGGACCTTGAGACAGTAAGGTACTAAATGAAATGAGTGAAATAATTAGAGAAAATCATACTTAGATGGCTCTTATATGTGGAATCTGAAAACAACAAAATAACCTTATAGTAGATTGGTGGTTGCCAGAGGCAGAGGTGGAGGGTGGAAAGAGGGGGGGGTGTGTGTGTGTGGGGGGGGGGCATGTCAAAAGGTAAAAAAAAAAAAAAAAAAAAGAATTGCAGGGTTATATATTATGTATAAACAGGTTGGAATAAAAATTTTTAGATAATGACTTTCTATACCTATTATATCTACAAAAGGATAGAGGAGAATAGAACTCTTTAATATGCAGCAAGCAGAGGGGCACGCTCATAAAAAGTTGATGGGAATATCAACTTATTAAAATTTTCTGAAGGGCAATGTGTAAACTATGTTGAAAATTTTAAATCTGTGTAATATTTGGCCCAGCGCTATCAGGCAAGTTAACAGGTATTTTGGCATAAAGGTATTCAAAAACAGTCTTGTTAAAAATAGTGAAAACTAAAAACCAAATCATCAGTAAGGTATTAGCCAAACAGATTATTTATATAATAATACTGAGGGGCTAGCGGTTGAGCGCTGGGTTGCGATTAAAAATAATGGCGCGCAGACCTCTCCTGTGTCCCCTCAGCAGTGTGCTTCAGTTTCTGCCTGCTCTGCTCCCCGCTCTGGCTCTGGTGAATTCTCTCACCCTCCCGCGCTTCTGACTGTACCCATGCATACTAACTACAACTACACCATATAGTGATATGAGAAGCATTTTCAGTTTGCAGAACACTATCATCTATTTTGCTTCACAATGTTAAAAAATCTGAAAGTGATTTTCAATAATTTCACTGCATGAATCAATTTATCTTTGAAACAAAGATATTTAAAATTAATGGCTACAGAAACTTTCAACTCTCAACCCACTAAAAGCTTCTTCTCTGTTGTATGATGCCTGGGGATAGAGAAACAAAGACCAGCATTTTTAAATCCAAGAAAATCCCAGTGCCACTTTGTTACTTCACTTACAGAAATTACTATATTTCAGCTACTTCTTCACATATAAACTCAGTAACTTTCATGAAATTTAACTTGTAATTCAATTAATTATAAATGACCCATCATTTGTCTTAAAAAGAAACATGTTAAGTTTTACATATGGGTAATATCTAAGGATAAAATGGGATCTATCTGGGCCATCTTATCCGTATTTACACGCCCAGGCAGTTCTGGATCTGTGAGGGACCACTTCCTGAATTCATCCAACTACCGTGACAGACATTTTATTGGTGGCACTGCTATCTGAAGAGTTCACATGAAAAGATTCCACCAATCCACATCAGCTTTGATCTCAGAGTGATAGCATAAAAGGCAACAATTCATGCACTGGACATATAGTGCCAGGCACTCTGCTAAGTGCTGGAAGCACACTAGTGAGTAATTCCTGCTCTCATAAACTTGCAGCACAGTGAGAGGGACAAATATCAATCAATCATATTTGTGACTATAAAGTGAAAGGGTAAAAAGGAATAGAACACCGTGTAAAGTAAAAGAATTTGATCTAGCCTGGCAGTGGGCATCAGAGAGAGGTTCCCTGAGGACCTGAAGCTTGAGATGGGAAGGGGGAGGGGGGTAACCTGAGGATTTCAGGCAGAGGGAACAGGAGGTGAAAGAGCCTGTGGTAAAGGCAAATCACACTGTCAAGGAAAATGAAGGCAGGCCAGTGCATTCAGGACACAAAGATATGAACAAGATGAAAAGGCATGGAAGGGCTTTAAAATGGGGAGCAGAAAAAGGGGTCTCTACCAGGATGTCAGTGGTGGTGGGGCTGGAATAAGGTTGTGTCTATAAATGAGCTTTGTAATTTGCAAAGCACCCCATGCCGTTATCAGCACCGCTTAGCCCCATTACTTGTTCTCTAAATGAACTTCTGGTCTGGAGGCTGAGTAGTGACTCGCTGAAAGAAGAGCCAAAACCACTCCCAGTGTTCTAATCCAGTGCTTCCCGCCAGGCCACATCGCCGAAAATTCTGCTTTCATCATTCAAGTAGTCAACGTCTCCACCAGGCAACTAGAGCTGCAGAGTGTCAACAATCGCTTGGGTGATGACGATCTACCGTGTGCCAGGCACAGACGCTCTTTATTTACATTAACTCATTTAATCTTCACCCCTGAAAAGCAAGCTCTATCACTGTCCAGATGAGGTGACCGCGGCTCAAAAAAGTTTAGCAGCTCGCCCCAAGTCACACAGCTGGCGGAGCGCGGCGCTGTCAATGACACGCGACTGAGCTTCCACCTAAACACTCCCCGCCGTGCGCGTGGCGGGGCGGCGCGGGGAACGGACTGTCCCCAGCACCCTCGCGCGCGGGGACCCGACCAGGGCCGGTCCCTGCGCCCCCCGTCGGCCCTGGGCAGCGCTGATGAGCTGAGGTGGGCAGAGGCGCTAACTAACAGTGAGGATCTGGAACTAAACCCATTTTCTGAGGTTCGTCCCCGAGTCCCACACTCGCCAGCAACCCACTCCTCGACGCCGCCGCCGCGTGGCCGGAGCCCTGGGATCCTCCGCTCCCGGCTCACAGGGCTCAGGCCGCCCGCGGGGGCGGGGCGCGCAGAGCACCGGGGAGGGAGCCGCCCCCCGCCCGCCGCCGCCCCCCGCCCCCCGCGCTCCCGGGGCGGCCGCGCCCCTCCAGCCCAGGCCCCGCGGGCCTGCCGCGGCACAGCGCCCGCCTCCACGGCGAGCACTCACCCCCGCTTCTGGGAGGGCGCGGGCCGGTCCAGGGACGCCAAGCCGAGTGAATGCGCGCAGCCAAGCAGCAGAGGGGGTCACCTCCGAGTCCCCCGGCTCTCAAGGGGTCGGCGCCCTCCCGCGCCGCGCGCCCGGCGGCTCCGCCTCCATTTCCAACTGCCCCGCCGGGGCCGCTGCGAGGGTCGCTCAGGAGCCCGGACCCCAATTCCGGAGCGGAGCCCCTCAGCGACGCCCACAGGGGAGGCGCCACGTGGCGCCCGTTCGCCCCATTTCACAGCTCAAGAAACGGGGCCTCCTGGAGGGGCGCCCCGCGCCGCCGCGTCCGAGGTGCAGGCGAGAGCCCCGCGGGCCGTCCGGCCTCCGGAAAGCCCGCCCGGAGAGCCGGGGCCGCGGACTCGAGCTGCTCCATGCTCTTCACCACACTTGCCCGGCAGTTCTCGGGCAGCGCGAGGCCCGACCCGGCAGGTCACCCCGCCGCGGGCGCGTCCGCCGGCTCCCGGGACCCCCAACCCGGCCGCGCCGCCCCGCCCCCGGGCCCGCCCCCGGCCCCCGCCTCGCCCCGGCCCGGGCTCCCGCCCCGCCAGGGCTCCCGCGCCCGCGAGGACCGCCCTCCCCCGCCGGGCCAATCAGCAGCGCCCCGAGGGGCGGAGCCGCGGGCCCCGGCCCTCCCCCCGAGCACCCATTCGCTCGCCCGGGCGTCGCTCACAATGTCACCGCCCTCTTCTCCCTTCACCCTCCCCTTCAGGAAAAAACGGCGGTTGGGCCGCGGCGGCCGTCAACGGCGGGCGGCAGGCGGAGGGGCGAGGAGCCGGGGAGCGAGGGAAGGAGGGCCCGCAGGGAGGAGGAGGCTTGGCAGGAGGAGGGGAGCCCGGCCCCGCCGGAGCCATCGCCGACGAGAACAAAATGGCGGCGCTGGCGGAGGGCCAACGGCGAGGCGGGGCCGCGGCCATTCCCCCTCCGCCCCCACCCTCGCGCCGGCCGGGCCGGTCAGGGGGAGTCCGCTCGCTTCGCCCGGCCGCGGGCGGGGAGGGGAGCGGCCCGGCCCACTATGCAAAGCGGCCGCCGCCGCCCCGTGGCAAAGGTAAAAGGGTCGGGTTCAGCCGCCGCCGCCGCGGCGCCTCCATGTCCGCGCGCCAGGCCCGCCCCCTCCACCGCCGGCCCGGGCCCGCCCGGCCCCGGCCCCGCTTTACCTCCGGATTTGGCGCCAAAGCAGCCTCGAAGCCGGTCCCGTGTCGGCGGCGGGCGGCCCCCGGCGCGGAGGGCAGGGCGCGGGGAGGCCGGGCTCCCGGCGTGGGCGGAGGGCGGGAGCCCGGGGGCCGCGGGCTCGCGGGGCGGCGGGCGGGAGGCGAGACGCCGCGGCGGGAGCGGGGGCGGGCCCGGAGGCGCCGCCGGGGTCGCTGGGGCGGGGGGGCTTGTTATTGTTTTTGTCAGTGAAAGGTCAGAGTTCGTGACCCCGGTGCCGCCGCCGCCGCCGCCGCCCGCGCGCTGGTAGGAGGAGGGCGAATGTTCTCTTCCTCTTCCCAGCGCCAGCCTCGCCGCGGCCGCGGGGGGCGGGCGAACACGCGATTGGCTGAGGCGCGTGCGCGCACCGGAACGCCGCGGCCCTGCGGCTCCGGCCGCCCCTCCGCGGGCCCGGCGGCGGCGGCGGGAGGCGCGGGGCCCGCGCGGCCGGCCGGGGCGCCGGAGGCTCGGGAGTGCACGGCCGCCGCGCGTCTCGGGGCAGGGCCGGCGCGTCGCTGCGCACACCCGGGCCGGCCGGCACCGTTATTGGGGGCAGGCCCGCCCTGCCCGGGGCCCCGCCAGCCCCGCCAGCCCCGCCGGGCGCACCGGGAGCCCTGCGCCCTCCCGGCCCCCGCCGCCCCGAGTCCTCGGCGCGCGGACCGGGGGAGCCGCGGCGCGGCGGGGCGCCTGGAGGTCGGCAGCGGGCGGGTCCGTGCGGGCGCTGCACGGGGGGGCCCCGCTCGCGCAGACGGGGCGTTCATTGAGGTTTTAGAAGTCTGCGGAGGCGCCCGCTCCTGCGGTATCAGGTAAAGTGTTGACATACTCCAAACCCATCTTTTTTCTCGGCTTCCCGTGAACGTCAAGGCATGCCTCTGAACCTCGCGGGTTAATGCATCAAGTATCTGGAAAGCCACCTTTTGCAAAATTATAAATCCTGTAAATTAATTTTAAGTTATAGAAATTTTAGCTTGCTATATAAAATTTAAGACTATAACTTCTCTTGATCTTGTAAATCTTAAGATTGTAGGTTTTCCTTAGTCGGTTCTTTCTCGTTCAAGTGACAGTTTCGACTGACTTGGGAACCTACGACCGTTTCTCATCGTAGGTGCCCCGAAGTGTCTCGGCTGGACTCTTGTAAGCGGTGCTTTGTAGGCTGCAGAACGCATTGATTTTTTTTTTCCTGTGCTTTGCTTGTTATGAATAAACACTGGCGGCTCCAAGGTGGATGAGTTAACCCTTTGTCTTAAAAAATAACCATTTGGGCATTTTTTCAGGATGACCTCAACTTTGTGTATTTTCTCCAGAATGTTAAAATACTTTCATTTGCTACGTAATGTTTTAAGCACACTGTTTTCTTGCAAGGAAGCAGGGCCAAGCAAAGTTTGTAAGGTTATGGTGAACCACAGACCTTGTAGCTGAAAGTGGCCTCAAGGTGACATGATCAAACCCTCTTCTGCCAGGAAGATTTTGAGGAAAGGGATGGGTGAGAGCCAGAAAGGTCAGGTGGTGTCCCTGTATTCTGTGACACAGTATTCTGACGGTAAATCCTTGCAAAGGTGGACTGTTTTGTGATTGTGTACACGTTCTCCACAATTAAATTCAAAACTATTTAAATTATATACTCAAGGAAAAAAGCACGTATACATATATCCCTAGCAATGTGCGTGACCTTAAAAAATTAAGTTTTTAATATTAAATAATGCTTGTGGATATATTGTAAAAATTCACACTTAGGGTTTGTTTTTTTTGGGGGGGCAAACACATTATTGTAATAGATTTTGAAATAAACACTAAAGGTTTCCATAATGACTTAACAGTTGTCTCACTTTCACTGTGCTGTGAACAGGCACTGCTGTGCCCAATGTCCTGGGTGTAGGAACCAGGCGTCCTGGTCCTGCCCAGCGCCACAGGGAGAGTAAGGCCCATTAGGGCTCTGATCTTGTTTTTGTGATGCTAAAAGTCATGCTGTATTCATTCGCCCTGTTTGTAATAGTATTTGGCAAGTTTTTAGTCAAAGGTTGGTTGTTTAACATCAAAAGTGGCAACAAGCCTTCCTAACTTTAGGCACCTTTTCCCTTGCACAGGTATACTGTGAGATCAGGTCTCAGGCCTGGCCAGGCTGAGCTCTGTTGCCAGAGCGCTCTTTTCATTCCATGTATTTCCACAGAAATCACCCTACTGAGAACTTTGTGACTTTGTAACACTTTGATGGGATTTTATAATAAAAAAAATTCCAAGTTCTATTATATTGGCTATATTTCCATTTTTTTGAGTGTCTTTTAGTAAGAAGCAACCACATTGGCACTAAAGTGCTTTTAACATTGTTTTACCCGCCTTAAAAATAAAGGGTCTTGACGAAGGGAGCACTTCAGAACTGCCGGGTCCCCAGTGGTTCTGAACCATAAGCTTTGGGTGGGGCCCGGGTCAGTGCTCTTACTGCGCATCACAAATCCTGCTGATGTCCACTGCAGGCCTGAACCACTCATCTAATTCTGAACATGCATGGCAGAAAAGACATTCTTTTTGTTTCCCCTTTTGAAATGCAGTGTAGAAAAACTTCTTTTTGGTTGATTTTAACTCTCCAGGAGCCTGATCACAGGATTGGGGCTGGATGGGCATTATGATCTGTTGGGCCATATCCTTGTACCCTGCGTGTGTGTGGCTTCTGCAGCTCCCCGGCTGTAAGCCCTGTATTGAGATGTACCTAGTGATGGAGCATCTGGTGAATGAATGCTTTTCCAGTACCACGTATGGCAAGCAACATTCATGTCATTGTTGCATTTTTTTAGAACATGAATTCAGTGAAAAAACTTGATCACTTCCCAGGCTGGGTTGTGAACTTCTGACTCCTTAAACAGTGCACTGTGAAGGAGACCCAAATGTTCCCCAGCGCCCCCACAGCATAATAGCTTATGCTTTATTATTACTAAATATAGTAATTAATGTTTTTGTGAAACTTGCTTATTTTATATAATTATGACCCTTTATAAAATAAACTTTTAAACCTGATGTCATTTGCCGAATTTTTTTCATCATGTGGAATCATAACATCTCATTGCTGAATACCAGATTGCACAATCCCACACGATCTTGTTTAATCTTTACAACAATCTTGTGAAGTATATGGTGGTGTCTTGTTTTTAGGCTTTAAACAGGGTTACTTCTGCAAAGCTAACAAGTGGTAGAACATTTAGTAAGTTATTTCTGTTTTCTTCTCTCCTGTCCTTGAGAGAGGGAAACCCTCTTCTTCCCATCTCTGTGATTCTAAATTGAGCCCCACTGCACTAGATGGCTACCTGGAGATGCCTCAGCTTCTATTCAGCTTTATATAAATGGCCTTGGTTCTTCCCGAGAACAGAAAGACCAACCCTGTGGTGGATGGTGGCACTGGAGCAACAGCTACAACTGAAAGTCATGCCCCTAGAGCTTCGAACTTGGGGCTTACAGGCCTTAAAAACGTGATCAAGTTGTACTTAGCTCGATACTTGGGGCATGACAGAAAATTATTTTCTCATTAAAAATGTACCTGGCCTGGGCCTCCCCGGTGGCGCAGCGGTTGAGCGCTGGGTTGCGGTTCGATTCCCGGCTGCTCCCCGGCCACCGGAGGAGGGTCCCACATGGCGCGCAGACCTCTCCTGCATGGCGCGCAGACCTCTCCTGACGCCCACTGCTCCCCTCAGCAGTGTACTTCGGTCCTTCTGCCTGCTCTGCTCCCTGCTCTGGCTCTGGTGAATTCTCTCACCCTCCCGCGCTTCTGACTCTACCCAGTGCTTGCATAAATTAATAAATAAATAAATCTTTTAAAAAAAAAAATGTACCTGGCCTTGGTCTCCTGTTTTAGAAAGTGGGCTGCTGGAAAGGGTGTTTGGTTTTTTTTAAATACTGCCTACTAGAAACTCAAATCTTGAGTCTGGGAGTTGTTCACTATCCCAGCACCACCCCAAAGGCTAATCTACCTGGGACTGCTGACCTTTCACTTGGGAAGTCCAAAAGTTAAATAGAGGCATCCTGTGAATTTCTTAAGAGATTATTTCAACCCCACAGCTTGTTCACCACAGGCCAGAAAATGCTCCTTAACAACCAAAGGTTCCTTTCCCCTTGGGGGAAAATGGGATGTTGCACTGAGGCTTCTGGCCTTGGGGAAGTTCTGTGCACTCCGGAACAAGGGTCTAAAGGACATCAAATTATCTGAATTTCTGCCCTTGCTTCCCCTGCCCCATCCCAGTTCAGGCCTTCTATTGCTTTTGTTTCCTGATCCAACCTGTCTCCACCAGGCTGCCTCCAGACAGCCTGCCTTCATGCTGCTACCTCGTGTTCTGAAACAGCCTTTCTTAGCCCTGTTCCTACAGTTACTCAATGATTCTGCATTGCTTAGGTCTGCAGTGCAAACAATTGGTGTAGGTCTGGCAGTTACCTTAAAGAGTAGTAGGCTGCCATATAAGCACCGTGTGTTAAATGGTCCTAGCAAGACCTGAGAGCTCACTACCCACCTAAAGGGGCAGCTTCTCATCACCTGGAATGTGGCCCCAGGTAGGTATCTTGATTTCTCAAGAGAAGAAATTATCTGGATTTCCGCCCTTGCTTCCCGCGCCCCTTCCCAGAAGTCCAGATTTATAAATGTGAAGTCTGGGGCTTAAAAATGTTGGCCTTTAATTTAGTAGCTGTTAATTTAGTAGCTGTTTTCTTTAACTATGTAGCAAATCTGCATCTCTTAACACAGACCTGAGGTTTAGAACCAGTTTGGGACCTCTGACTACTCAGACCAACAGCTGAGCCAGAGCAACTCAAGTCCTCCACAGGGGTCTGTCCGCCGTGAGATTAGAGCATCACTCAGGGTCCTCTTCCAAGAAGAGCGCTGTTGCATGCAGGGAGAACTTGGATTCCTTCTATTAGCATGTTTTCATCTTCCACGGAGAGGGAACTTGGCATGCAGTAAACAAGTCCATGCCTGGGTTAACTGTACTTGGGGTGGGGGCCTATTACTCCGGCTCCCAGCCTGCCAGGTGTTTAGCAGGGTTAGGAGGTGAGTGGAGAGTCCCACTAGTTAAGTGTGGCCAGGATGATGTGTCTCACCTAGGTCCCCGGCAACGTGAATGCCACCAATGCCCACGCTTCACCTGCTGAGGGCTAGGAGTCCTGGTCCAGCCTGAATGTGGCACTGATAGTAGTTGGCGTTCCATTCCCAAAAGCTGGGCACTTGAGTACCCCAAGACTAAGATCAGAATGAGGAGCTTGAGTCACTGATGATCTTCCTGTTTAAACTGGAAAGTGATACAGCGAGAGCTCCAAGGAGACCTCTGCACACAAAGGCTCCCTAAACAAAAGCTAGTTTCAGCTTAGAATTAGGATAGTGGCAGGAAAGGGGCTGGATGCATTTCATCTGGAGGGGGATCCATGGGTTCAGGATTGCACATGTGCATTCTTAGATTATGCTGCTTCACACATTCCATGTTCAGAGGATGGCGGGCAAATCTCAGAGGTAGAGATCTTACTGTGGTGAGTCTGTGGGTACTGTAGGTCAGTCGGCAATCCTGTGCGCTTGCACAGTGGTTTATGCTGGTTCTGCTTGGGGCTCCAGGCTCCCCTGATGCTGCAAGGATTCTGCTGTAAAGGTAACTTGACATACAGTAAGACAGGCATTTTATAGGGCATCTGTATGTTGCTTGCCCAGGGCAAGATACTTGAAACTACCACTCAGCTATTTCGGGATCCCGATGGCCAACTCCTTGCTCCCACTCTCCGTCACGCAGACTTGCAGGTCCCCGTAGCATCACACGCCTCCTAGCTATACCTTGTGTCCTTCAGTCCTCAGTTTTGTCCACTTGTTTTTCCAGAGAATAAACATCCTGTCTCCTGCCTGGACAGGGAGAGGGCCATCACCTTCCTGTGGCGGGTAGGACTAGGAGATGTGATCCTCCACTGGTCCTCACGTCTCCGTCCCACCCTGGCCTTCGCTGGCCCCTGTGCCTCTCCGGGGCAGGTAGGTGTCCCCCTCTGCAGGTGCAGGGGGTTAGCTTCTCCCTGCCGAGTTCACTGCCCTATCCATGCATGCTCTACCTTTCAAAAGTAAGTTGGTTTCCATACCCTAGGCCTTTCCATTTTTTTTAATTAATTAATTTATTTATACAAGCACTGGGTACAGTCAGAAGCGCGGAAGGGTGAGAGAATTCACCAGAGTCAGAGTGGGGAACAGAACAGGCAGACTGATGAAATACACTGCTGAGGGGAGCAGCGGGCGGCAGGAGAGGTCTGCATGCCATGTGGGACCCTCGCCGGTGACCAGGGATCGAACCAGCGCCGCAGAGGCCGGGGGCAGCTTTGCAGCCCAACACTCAACCGCTGAGCCACCAGGGGAGGCCCCTTTCAATTTTTTTTTAAGTTGTATCTTTTTATTTTTAATTTACTGTCCTTGTAGAGGATCTTGAGAGGGAACCAAAAAATTCAAGCTTCTTGATTATCTGTGGCTCTGGTATAACCACATCAAAACTCAGTAGCTTAGGGCTCCCCTGGTGGCGCAGAGCACTGGGCTGCGAAGTTGCCCGCAGCCTCTGCAGCACCGGTTCGATCCCTGACCACCGGCGAGGGTCCCACATGGTGCGCAGACCTCTCCTGCCCTGCCCGCTGCTCCCCTTAGCAGTGTATTTCATCAGTCTGCCTGTTCTGTTCCCTGCTCTGGCTCTGGTGAATTCTCTCACTCTCCCGTGCTTCTGACTATACCCAGTGCTTATATAAATAAATAAATCTTTAAAAAAAAACAAACAACAAAAAACTCAGTAGCTTAAATGCTATATAAGCTGAAACTAGTTTTTGTTTAGGGAGCTGTTGTCCACTGCTTCACCTGCTGTGGGCAGGGGGGGCGGGGTGTAGTAGAGGGGGCCTAGTAGAGTAGCCCAGGTTCTGGTGGTAGAATGCTGCAAATTTGGGGTCTGAGACACACACCCAGCTAGGTGCCAGACTGTGTACTGCTTACACTGACTTGATTCCATTTCTGAAAACATTCCCCCTCTTGAACTAACTTCCCAACTATTCACACCAGTTTGAGGTTGGTTTCCTTTTACTTAATGTTGAAAACAGGCATCTTCTAAGTGTGGACACATTTTGTCTTCTCAACTGACCATTGGTATGTGGAACCACAGAAGCAACCCACAGCAAATAAGGCTGAAGCAGTTTAACAGAAGAATGTTCTAGCATGTTGCTGCCTAGGCTGTATAGCAGAAAGTCATGCTCCAGCCTGGCCCAGGTGGCCTTGGTCCCCATTTAGGGCTTTAGTGTCCAGTGAGGACCTTTACACTGTCACCTGTGTAAAGGCTGGCCACTTGGAAGAGGAAGAAAGGGCTGTAACTGACCACACTACCCTGCAGTGGCTGCGGCAGGGCTGGCGGGGTCCTTGGCACTGGCCTTCGGGGTGTATGCCCAGAGACTGGCTCAGGCATGAGCCCCTTGCTCCACACCTGCACGCAGGATCAGACTACCCCAAGGGAAAATGAGCCTCAGGACTCAGTGTATTTTTGGCCTTTAGAGAATATTCCTAGCATCCAGGACTCACTCAGTGTCCTGGGGTGTTGCCATGTTTGTTTGCAGTGCGCTTTGTATCAGTGATAATGAAAGGAAGTTGTTCTACTTACCCAGGCCAACCCAGGCGGAAACCACACTCAGTCTGTGGGAAGGTACGAGGGCACCAAAGCAAGGGAAGTGCTGCCTGCTTGCAGTAAAACCCTAGGTTTTAGCAAGTTTTGCTGACCCTGAGACGCAGGCAGAGGCTGGATTGTGGCAAGATGTCCACAGCAGGGAGAGGGCACACAACAGCACAGGGAAGGAGATAAGATCCGAGAGCCTGGTGCTCCACCTGCCCGTGTGGGCCTCTCCCAGCCTGGTTTGCTGCCAGGCCAGTCTCCTGGGGAGGAGGCGGCTGCATCTCCCACACAGCAGCACAGAGCAGGGCCACGACTTCATTTTCACTTTGTATGTAAAACCGTGCCACCCTGTGTTCTCCTGGCGGTCAGGCCACTTCACAAACCTTTGGCTGGTGCTTTTCCTGAGCTCTTCGGGAGGCTGCAGTGGCCTCCACAGGACAGGTGGAGGCACCGAGGCTCCAAGCTACTGAAGGCAGTGGCTTGCCCAGGGCCTGCTGCTCTGCCCCAGCTCAGCGCCGCTCTGGAGACAGCCTGTGCCAGAGGCTTGGTGGAGGGGCTGCTCTGTGCCCGGGGAGCAGGGGCCTCCAGCACCGTGGTCTGGGGGAAGAGCTGGCCAATTGGGCCTGAGAAAAGGTGCCCTCAGGGCAGGTGGGTGCCTTCATCCCAAGTTGGTCTGGGTAGGCCCCATGGACAGGTGGGTGACACTGCATTCTTGGACCAGATCACACAAGGAGGAGGACAGGGAATGAGCACTTAGCAAGGTCCAGGTGAACCAAGCAGGTCATGTGCAAGCTGTGGTGAACCCTGGGGCCCTGCCACTTCCTTGCACGAAGCCCACTGAGTGTATTTGGTCTATAACCCAGCATTGTTATTAGAGTAACCATTCGCTGAGGAATAAAAGCCCTCTTACCTGTTCTTTACGGGCATCAGAAACAGGGTGCTATATGGTGAAACAAACCTTCAGACTTCCAGAGGCATCGTTCTACCTGGAACTCAGAAACAGACAATGGGCATGAGACGGGGCAGAGGGCAGAGGACAGGCTGGGGAAACTCCCAGCCTCCTGCTGAAGTCTTGTGCTTTACAAGGGTTTAAAAGGTCTAGAAGGCCCATTAAATCCCTGTGATGTTGAAACGATTCCATTGGAATAAAGTCCTCAAAAATTAACAGGGGCCTATCTAATCACTTAGTTTGAAGCAGTTATTAAATGTTTAATGCAAACATTTTAGAAGATGAACTGCAAACTAGGGGGGAAAAACCCTGAAAATATTTAAGGTATGTAATTCCTTGAGATAGTGCTTTTTATGAAAGGTTTGTCAGTAAATGCAGCAGCAGGCTGGGACAAGAGATCGGAAAATGATGTGATTTTTTTTTTTTTTTTATTTGGAGGAGAGTAACAAGGGATCCCACCTGCCCGCCCTCTGCTTTATGTAAAACAGGCCCAGCACGAGGAGCAGCCATAAGCGGGCAGGACTGAGCCCCTGGCCCCCAGCGAGCATCTTCCAGGTGCAGCTTCTGTGCTCCCTCACTGTGTCCAGAGCCATTGGCCAAGGTCACGGCGCTCCCCCTCCGACTGTATCTTTTTCCCTTTGTAACTTTCTCAAGGCTTCAGTCACACAGCGGAAGGGTCACCGTGTGGAAAAGGAGCACAGGTTCTCACACACGAAGGTGCTGGCTCGAGCGAGCGGGTCAACACAGGAAGGCACACATCAATGGAAACAGACCCGTCTCCTGGGAGGGTGCGGAGAGGCCGCCTGGTCGCGCTCACAGTGCTGGGGTGCTGCTGGGGACCCATGGGGTGGAGGGAGGCTCCTCTGTTAAGTCACGTGATCCACTGGAGGAGAAAGTCCCCCCTTCTGACCCAGGGCCTGGCCCCCAGGAAGCATGCCTGTTGGCACCCCTTTTCCACATGCCCTTGTTGAGTGCTGCTGGCAAACAGGTCCACAGGTCTCGATCTGCTCGTGAGTGAGTCACTGGGAAACATCACACCGGAGGTTGTCGCTCAGTAAAACAATAAAGTGCTTTCAGCGAGAGGAGCTGTTCTTACTGTGGTTTCTAGTCTCACCTGAGGCGCTGAAATCAGCAACACGCAAGGCGACGATGCTCACCAGGAGTAAAAACTGTAAAAGCTTCTACTACCAAGCCTTGTTTCTGAGACAGACTTTTCCATTGGTTTCCATGTCTTCATGTTGCTCAATTTTTTCTCACTTCTGGATAAAGAAATGGTTTATGCTGGGGGCGGGACGCGGGGTGGGGGAACACGAAGACAGAGGAATGGTCCATAAATATCTCTTCAAAGTTCCACTTGTGAGGGTGTGACCGACGGGGTTACAGAGAAAGGTCAGGCCCCGTGCTGAACCCAGATGCGGTCCTGCTGGGGAGACCGGACTGGCTTCTGGAAGGGTCCACGTATCAACCTAAGAGTTTATTCCGAGCCCACACGCTTGCTGACTGCTATAACACGCTTGCATCCTCCATGGCCTCCATCCACCTGCAAGACAGAAGAGGGGGACACTGGTGTCCTGCTTCTGCCTGTGACTCTGGTCACACCGCCTGTAAGTGTCGGGATAGACGCCTATCAGCCCAAGGCCAGGGACCACGCCACCTTCACATCTGTTTACCCAGCATTTAGCAAAAGGCCTGGAATGCAGTGCACAGATTTGCTGAACCCATGCATGCCCGTGTGAATGATCACAATTATCTTTAAAAATCTCAGGAGCAGGAACAGGGAGTTCTGCTGTGGCCAAAGGGACCTGACGGGACAGGACAGCTGGAGAAGAGCCCAGCTCTGGGGCCCGATACATTTTGTTCTGAGAGAGGCAAGGCGAGGGCGCGCGTGGTTAGGTACCTCTGAGCTGCACTGGTATCCTCTGCTCTGAAGCTATAAAATAGGGTTTTCTTGTGGAAAAGGTGAAAAACAGGCCCTGCTTCGCTGCTGCCCTCTTCCTTTTCCGGTGCGATGGTGAAGCCCAGCAGGGGCATGCTCTCCAGGGCCACCGCGTCCTGCAGACGGCAGAAGGGACATAAACCTGAGCCATGGCGGTCGGCAGCGGGGCCTCTATTGATGCCGCCTGCGTACATGGAGCCCTTGTGTGTGACGCTCAACCACCCTCTGCCCCCAATTCCCACCGGAGCAGTGAAGAGGAGGGGAAGAAACTAACATTTTGGACGACGTATCAGGGCCATTTTCACTCTCACACTATCTTATTTAATCTCCATGAACCTAGAGGGTGTCACCCCCATTCTGAAAAGAAGCTGAGGCTCACAGAAGGCCACTTCTTCCCTGGATCACACTGTGAGTAAGGGACAGAGCCAGAGCTCTGTCCACAACCACCTGCTCATCCCACATTCTTGCCACCCACTTGAATTGAGGGCTGCTTCCCATAATACTCTGTACTCACCCCCGCCACCCTCGAGCCCAGCAGCTCTGCATGAGTGGCCCGGGTGGGGTTGGGGAGTGTCTAGACAGGAAAGCTGTTGACAATTCAATGACATGAATTCAGAGGACATAGATGGGTCTCAAAATCATAGTGTTCAGTGGACAAAGAGGTTTTTACACATAAAGACAGGTTTACATTTGTGTGGAAATACATGTTCACAAAATGCAACACTACAAAGCCACACGTGAATGAAGGATCTAGCTGGATACAACTAGAGTGATCTTGGGAGGAGGCAAGGGAATATTCTGTGCTCAAAACAGAATCTATTTTTCATTTTCAGCAAGTGCTAGAAAGGAAAATTCAACATCCATTTATGATAAGATTTTTAATTCCCCTTCTTTCACTTATGGCAAGTTTACTCAAATCCCCATCAGTAAATTCAACACAGAAAAATAAATAAATCATTTTCCTTCATTTTAAGGAAATGACAAGGAGAAAGGTCTCCAATTTATAGGGATTTTTTTTTTTTTTTGGCTTTCCAGAGGGGGAAAAAAAGTCAGATAAAGAACAGTTTTCATCATCATAGAAAGTCTCCAGATGTTTCTTTCCAGTCAATCCCTGTCTGCCCAGGGGGTGGGGGCTTTAACCCCAAGGGAACCACTTTCTGATTTATATTATCAAGAAATATTTTGCTCATTCTTGGTTTTCATACAAAATAATAGAGTAGGACAAGAGTAAAGATAGTTTGAGTCCGACATATTTGCACGACCTAATGTGCTGATATTATGCATTTCTTTCTTGTCTTTTGGTTTGCATCATAAGACTAAGGCATCTACTCTTATGCTGGATTTTTATTATAAATGCCCATTGCACATCAAACATTTTCTTCAATATTTACTGAGATGATCATACCCTTAATTATTAATACAATTAATTTAATTGTTAATACAGTTAATTAAATTGATTTTCAGTTGTTAAAAAAGAAGGAAAAGGAATAAAAAACCTCTCAGCAATCTAAGAATAAAGGTGCTTCCTTCATCTGACAAAGGACTTCTGTATATCCCTACAGCTACCATCACACTTAGTAAAATATGAAATGCTTGCTCCCTAAGGTTCAGAACAAGGCAAGATGGTGCTGGTACTCACTCTCACCAAAAATTCAACGTGGTACTAGAGGTCTTAGCTATGGCATTAAGGGGAGAAAAAGAAATGAAAGGCATAAACATTAGAAATGAGGAAGTAAAACTGTATGTGCTTGTTGCAAAGGACACATCTGATTATAAAACAACTTTTGGCAATAAACAACTAATTGGTCACAGGATAACCAATTTCTTAATGTCTATTAGCAGCAAACAACTAGAAAGTAAAATAAGTTTCATTCAAAATACCATCCACTAAGTAAAATATTCAGGAATAAAGTTAACTGACGTTAAGTCTGCTAAGAACTACAAAGGATTAAAAGATAAACTATGGCCTCCCTGGTGGTGCAGGCAGTTGAGCGCAGCACTGTGAAGCTGTCTGCACCCTCTGCCTGCCACAGATACACCCATATGGCGCGGCAGACCTCTCCTGTCTCGCCCGCTGCTCCCCTCAGCAGTGTATTTCAGTCAGTCTGCCTGTTCTGTTCCCTGCTCTGTCTCTGGTGAATCCTCTCACCCTCCCACACGTCTGGCCTGTACCCGGGTTCTTGCATAAATAAATCTTTTTTAAAATTTTTAAAAAAAGATAAACTAAATTAATGAAGATTTACACCTAGTTCATGAATTGGACAGTTCAATATTAAGTTGCAAATTCACCCCAAACTGACCTATAACAATACCTGTCAAAATCTCAGCAGGCATTTTTTTTTTTTCTTTTGTAGAAACTGACAAGTTTATTTGGGCGCACACCTAGAATAGGTCAATCTGGCCAATCTTTAAAGAGAACAAGGGCGGAGGACTTCTACAAGCTGACTCTGAGGCTTGCTCTAAAGTGACAGCAAGGCAGGCAGGATGGCAGGGGGTCAGCGAAACAGCGCAGGGGCTGGCAGTGCCCTCTGCACGTTCCCCAGCAATGGAGGGGCAGGGTGCCCACCCTCTGCAGCCGGGCAGAACTTTCAAAGCAGACTTAGCCCGGGGAGACCAGCAGGCGCTGGGGCCTGGCCGTGGAACAACTCCCCCTGGGGGTCAGGCGCCGCCCGGGTCAGGACCAGGCGCCTGGATATCCCAGGACCTCGCCTACCGCCCGGGAGACACCCACAGAAGACATTCTAGAAAGATAAAAACTTGTTTTCCCCGCAGAGGCACTACCACGAGGCAGCACAGCCCCCGACAAAGAGGAGCACAGACTAGAAGGGCCAGGGCTTCCTCCGCGGGCCGGACCGTGCCCCAAAGCAGGGGGCGGCGCGGGGCGGGCCCGTCTCCCCAGGCCCCCCGAGCGCCGGCCGCGCCCCGGGCCAGCACCGCCCGCACCCGCCCGGCGCGGAGGGGCGCCCCACTACCTCGCTGGCCGCGTAGGTGTACAGCACTTTGCCTTTGACGACGAACCAGAGCTTCTTCCAGGGCCTCCTGCCCTTCTTACAGCGGCTCAGGTAGCCGCTGATGGCGGAGCCCTCGCCGGAGGCGGCCACCTGGCGGGGCAAGCAGAGCGTCAGGTGGGCCCTGGAGGGCGCGCCCGCTCACCGCACCCCCCGCCCGCCCGCCAGACGCTGCCCTGGGGTGCGCGGCCCTCGCGGGGACCCCGGGCCTGGTCCCCGCCCCATCGCCAGCCTCCACCCCGCCCCCCAGGCCAGAGCGCAGACCCTGGAGGAGTGTCCAGATCCGCTCGCGGACTGTCCGGCTGTCTCCTTCCCGCAGGGAAGGAAACGTCCTCTCGGCGGGGCCTGCTCACTCCTCGGGGTGCGGGGCGCGGCGGCGGGGGGGGGGTCCCGCCGCGGGTCAGGGGCGGCAGCGGCACCCGCGGGCGGGGAGCACGGACTGCCCGGAGGGCGCACGCCGAGCCAGGCAGGCGGGCAGAGGAGGGCAGAGAGGGGGGCGTCGCTCACGTGTGGGATATAAAGAAATAAAGCGAATCAGCGGAAACAGTCAACCCCCTTGAGTCTGACAACAGAACAGGGGTGACCAGAGGGGAGGGGAGGGGGCTGACTAACGCCTGGAGAGCGGCAGGTGGGCAGGGACTTGGATCCCTCAGCTAATACTGCCCGGAGCAATGAACCCCAGGGTTGAAAGAAGCTTCAACCAGCTCCAGGATTTTGAGAAGTCCCGGGAAAGGAAGCTCCCTCTCAGGCAGGACCCTGACACCCGCTGCGGCACCCTGGCTACGGGAAGAGAGCAAGTCTGGGAACCTCATCCAGCAGCCTCCCTTTCTCCAAGGCCGCCCAAGCTCGGGCCAGCATGCCTGCGCCTCCTCCTGGCCAGCAGGTGCCGCTGAGTTCCTGGGGAACACGAGGCCGCTGTGGGAGATGGAGCGGGGGCTGCAGAGCCCCCTGAGTGCAGTCTTTGCTGGGTGATAAAATGACTGTCACTCTGGGCAACTGTGAAGGGGCTACTAGAGCACATGCACATGGCACCCACGTCAGAGCAGCCTCATCCCAGAAGGGTCAGGGCAGTGGCCCCCAAACTCCGCACCCAAGAAGAATTTGGGTTCTGGGAGCGAGAGGGACACTTCTCAGTCCCCAGAAAGGAAGGCACTAAATAAACAGTGGGGCAGCTGTGCCATGTAATGTGTTTGAGTTTAAGTGCAAGAGCTCAAGTGAAATAACATCCAGATAAATGACGGGGAAGAAATGTAAGGAGAGTCAAGATAACATGGTTGCTCGGGGGTAAAAAAGGAAGACGTATGGATAAACATCTTCTGCATCTGCATTAAAGTTTCTGGAAGGAAACTTGATGGTGGCTACCTGAGGGGGTGGGTAGGACTGCAGGAGGGGTGGGCGGGAGAGAGAGACTCGCTTTTTATATCACGTCTTCTTTCGTAGGCTTTGTTGACCGTGTATGTGTTATTTCCACGTTTTTTAATATGCAAAAGGAATTAAGTTAATGGGCAGAGTGTACCCGCTTAGGGTTTTCAGCCCAAAACACTTTTTCAATCCCCTGCCACCTGCTACTTGATACTGAATATTAATGACCATCTTGGAGAGAGCCGATGACACCTGTTTCCGGGGCGTGTCCACACTCTGCCTGCGACTGTGACGTGTGCAGCTCTATAACCTGGCCGGAACCGAGTTCAGCCGTTTCCGAGGCTTCCTGCAGAGTCCCTGGTCCTCCAGGAGGCTCACCCTGAGCCCAGCTGGGACCCCGGGCGAGGGCATGCCCGAGGGCCGGAGGGGAGAGCTGAGCCAGGGCTGAAGCTGCTTTAGGACCCAGGACCCCACTGATCTGTGTGTTACCCCCTGGGGACTCAGCCCTGGGGAGGAGGGAGGAGAAGGGGGAAGGTGCCCTCTCTGGGGCAGGCCTGTGCGTGAGGCTCATGCGGAGGGACCAGCTGCTGCCCTGGTTAGTAGAGAGTCAGTCCCCGGCTTCGCCTCTCCCTCTTGGGCTCCTCCTGTCTGAGAGCCGGTGGGCAGCGGAGCAGGAGGGGAACCTTCCAAACGCCCTCCCCCCGCGGGGCGGCCCACCTGCCTTACCTCAGTCAGGGCCGACGGGACTTTCTTCTGCTTCCTGAAGGTCGAGGGGTGGATGCTGTGGAAGACGGACGAGAAGGCGCTGCTGGAGAAGCGGGCTGAGGACAGGGGGAAGCTCATGCTCACTGGCCGCTCTGTAACCAACAAGCGGGGAGATGAGGTGAGTGTCAGCGGACGGGGTCCCGGGCCCCGGAACACCTACTCCTGCAGAACCAGTGGTGGTGGGGGGGGGTCCTAAGAGGAAAGCTGCCTCCCATGGAGGTTCAGGGTGACCAGGACAGAGGCTGTGGGGCAGGAGGGAAGGTTTTCCCCAGGCCTGGGGCTCCTCCGCCTCCTCCTCTAGCTGCCCCTGCGGCAGGCTGGGCTGCCTCTCTGATGGCTGCAGGGAGGCCAAGTGAGCCACCCCATCCCCCGGCCTCCTCCGGGGTTCCTGTTCTGGCCCAGCTCCTCAGGTTGCTGTGCAGGTGCTTAGCTGCTTTCCTTGTTTTAAACTGAGAGAAAATGGACATATGACACCCGGACCCCACATCATGGGGGAGTCCAGGACACCCCTGCTCTCCCTCCAGCCTGACCCTGCGAGGGCAAAGCCTATCCCCTGGGCATCTCAGGACCAGCTCGGCTTCTTCGCCTCCCTCACCAGGGGCCCGAGGCCCTTCCTGAGCCCCAGCTCCTCTGCTTTCTGCCTCACATCCTCAAGACAGAGAGGGCCCCCCCCCCAGGACCCCTACTACAGAGCACACTCAAATAGAGGGCACCAAGGCCAGTGAGTGTGCGCGCCCGCCGACCTTCCCTGGGAGACAGGCCCCAACTCAGTGTTTCCCAAATTGGGCTGCCCACAGAACCCTTCTGGGAGCACCCATGGGTTTTCCATGGAAGCGAGTTTTGATAAACGGTGTCCCAGGTGTGAGTTTAACCCCCTTAAGGGCAGTGTCTGTGCCGAGCCTCCGGAGAAGGTGGTTTCAGGCCACAGCCACAGGCCGGGAGAAGCCCCTCCAGCACCTGGGCAAAAGGGGGGTGGTCCCAGGGGCTCACCTCGCATCAGGCCTGGGACGTCCCCGCCCCTCTTCTTCAGCTCGCCATAGCAGCCGTCACAGACCTTGGCCATCCGGTCCTTGAGGTACTTCAGAGGGTACTTGTTTCGGGAGCAGTTCCTGCACACGATCTGCAGGTGACAGGGCAGTGTCAGAGAGCTCTGGCCCCGGGCGCCCGCAGAGGGCTGGCATCCTCTCCATCCGCCAAGCCACCCCACCCGGCCTCCTCCGGGGCCCCTGTTCTGGCCCAGCTCCTCAGGTTGCTGTGCAGGTGCTTACCTGCTCTCCTTGTTGTAAACTGAGAGAAAATAGACATATGATGCTATATTCGCTCAGGTGTACAACCAAGACTTGATATTTGTACCTATTGCAAAACGATCACCACAAACCGAGCGAACATCCATCACTAAAGTGACAAGTTATTTTTTCCTTGGGATGAGAATGTTTAAGAACTCAAAATGTATAATACAGTGTTAACGCACGGCCGTCCCCATGCTGGAAGCCCCTGTTGGCCGCAACCCAGCCCTTTGATCCCAAGGATAATGGCCCCGAATGCTCTGATTGCCTCCCTCCCTCCTAACCTCCTCCCGCCCTTTCTGTTTCTGAAAGCACGGTATTCAGTGTATTTGAATTAAGAATAATTTTTAAAACCTGTATTATTTCTTACTGACAGCGCACTGGTTCTGATACCATCCACGTTGCAGGAGCACGGGTTGACCCTCTTTAGACACCTCACACCCACCACCAGAGTACCCATAATCCCCCACCAGTCCACTGGGCCCCCTCCTCCCTCTCTTGTAGCCTCAATTCTACAGTCAGATTTCTAGGGTGTGCTTTGGTTTAGTTCTGTTTCCTTAGGAATCACATCTCGTTAACCTTCATGGCGACATGAGCAGTGTGTCACGCTCATCGAGCATCTGGAACTTCCACATAACAGCCATGTTGTTATGTCCATCACTGATGTGAGTGCTAACTAAATAGGCCACCAGTTGCATCTTTGTTTAACTGCTTCTGGATCTTTCTGGTTAGTGGTAGCACAACCACCAGAGCCAGGGGCGCCCTGTCCAGGTGAAAAGCCACCTTGGGTCACTGGTGCTCACAGCGCAGCTGTCCGGGGCCTCTGCAGGCGGCACACCTGAGGGACGCTGTCACTCTGCACAACAGACGTGTCCTGGAGAACCCATCTCTAAGTGAAAGGGGGGCAACTCAAAGCCTGCAGGTCACCTCGAGAATCTCTTCTTCCAGAACTAAGTTCAGTGCCTTTACACATAGGTACGGGACATTCTCTTCAAGCACGCTGTGATGGTCTTGGTGGGGGTGGGGGGGTGAAATGGCCTGGGGTTTGGAGCCCCAGTTCGAGGAGACCTGTAAAATGGGAATGACCAACCCCCACCTCTCAGGTTTGGTGTGAGCATCCCCGCGGGGGGCCAGGTGTGAAGCCCCGCTCGGATGTCTCCAGGCGGGGCCACTCACCTTGCCACAGGCGTGGCAGTGATGACGCCTCAGGGTGAGGGAGAAGTCACAGCCGCAGTTCATGCACATCATGACGTGGGTGACGGGCACCAGGGTGGGGGGCCTCTCCCCTAGGCTGACCCCCAGTCTCTCTCGTATCTGGAGCGACAGAACCGGGCACGCAGTAAGGTCGCCTGGACAGGGCGTGCATGTGTGGGGGTGGCGTGGACACCAGCACTACACCCCAATCCCACCCTCCAGGATGCTAGCATGGGTCAGAGGAGCCAAGGGGAGGAGCCCTGCTATGGCCTGCAAGCCTCTGAGCCCTGCGGGAAGGTCTCTGGGGTCGGGGGAGAGTCAGGGCCCGAGTGGAAGGAGCTCCCTGTCCTCCCTGGCAAACCCGGGGCTGTGAGGCCGGTGTGGCATCCCAGGGCCCCACTCACCTCCACGCTGTGGTGGAAGGCGGCCAGCGCCTGGGCCTTGTAGTCCTCGGGGAGCGCCCTGCTCAGACAGCCGTGCCACTCGTCCCTCTCCGCACAGGAGCTGTGGGCGTGCGGAGTGACGGGCGTGTGCCAGCAGCCACTGCCTCCACCCGCTCAGTGTGGGCAGGGTGCCCCCGCGCCCCGTCCCAGGGTCTCATGTCCCACTGGGCACCTGCCAATCAGGCTTGCCCCTTGGCCTCCACCTGCCAGCACCTGTGTGCCCTCGGGGCCTGCCCCCTCACCTGTGACCCAGAATGTGAGCGCTCATCCTCACACCCCCGGGGCTCATGGAGGGTCTGCAGTGGGCCATGGGATGATGACACACTTTGTGGGGGGCAGAAGCACCATCCAAAAGCAAGGGGCACTAGGAGGGCTCTCAGGGTCCCACACTTTAGGAGGGACAGGCTGGCAGGGGACAGAGGGCTGGGTATCTTCCAGAGGAGAGTGGTGGACGGTAGTGGGCCAGGGCCAACTTCCCAGGCTCTCCACCTTCCTCCTCATGTGCCCAGACAGCTTCCCAGAGACCCATCCGATAAAGCAGACTTCCCACATTCCCCCTCTGCCTGGCAGGGCTTCCAGTCAGCTTCCTGGGAGGGCAGTGGCTGGAAATGATTGCCATGCCCACAAGGTGTCGCTGCCCCCTGAGCTAAGTGTGTGGTCTGCCCCCGAAAGCTTGTGGCTGGGAGAAGGGAGTGCTCTGGCTTAGGGAGGGCGAGCCACAGCCTGGTGCTCTGTCCCTGGAAGGAGACGCATGGTCCTGCTCTCCTGGACGCTTCAGGCAGGAAGGGGACAGCCTGTTTGTGAGAGGCTCCTCAAGGCCACCGGCCAAAGGGCAGTCCCACAGGAAGACCGGAGTGACCTGTCACTGTTCTGCTTAGAAACTACACTCTGGGTCTCCTCATGCCTCTGATTTTACTAAGTAAGGAGAGACTATGGAGCTCCACCCAGGCATCACCTCCTCCGGGAAGTCTTCCCTTACTCTCCCAGATAGGAGGGTGAGTGGAGGTGCCTGAGACCTGACAGGTGTCTGCCGCAGGTCACTGCTGCCACCACTGCTTTGTCAGGGCAGTTATGTTCTGCATTCTAGCCTGTTCGTAATTATCCAGCCCTCAATGTGGACTCCCTCCCAGCAAATCAAGATTTAGATCGCTTGTGTCCTCAGCTATAGGAGCTGGTGCCGAGGAGCATCTAATTAATGCTTAACAAGCAAAGGTATCCATGAGAGGGCATGCAGGTTGGTGTGTGCTGGTCAAAGGTCACACCCAGCATCACCACCCCAGGATACACACCAGCTGAAAGGAGGGACCCCTGTCTCACCCCCTCTAGGTCCAGAGTGGTCCCTGGCGGGAGTCACGCCTGCCTGGCTTCTGAGCCCTGAGAACTTGAGCTGGCCTAGCCCCAAAGGAGGAGAGGGGGGCCCTCTCCCTGCTTAAAGGGTATGACTAGGGACCCTGGGCAGCCTCAGGGCTAGAGGAAGAGCAGCCAGCCTTGAAAGGCAACACCCCCAAAGTGAGAGCAGGCAGGATGAGGCTGGTTCATCGCACCTCCTCTCTCTCCAGACTCTGGAGCTAGGTAGGGTGCACCATGCACATTTTTACTCGTCATAACTTTTAATTTTGCTGTAAAGACCCAATAACCTGCAGCATTTTTCATACGTGAGATATAGCTAAACAATGGACTCCAGAAATCTCTGAAGTTCTATGCAAAGTTTTTTGTGTATGAACATTATTTTGGGGGAAAGAAGTCAGTTTTCTCAGATTCTCAAGTGGGTCTGTGACCCAAAGATGGCCTTGAAACACGAGTATGAAAAGACCTTTGATCCAAATGGCTATCAAAACAGCATTGGCTGTTCCCAGCTTCCCCACCTTTTACATCAGACCCCTCTGAGCCCAGGCCCTCGCCCCACCCCTCCCTGTACCTGGCGGACAGGGTCAGGCAGGCCTCGGGGGTCTCGATCTTCAGGGCATAGGGCACTTTGTCCATCACGGGGCGGCTGACCTGGAAGAGCAACGGCAGCCTCAGGGTGGGGCGCCCACAGCCCACATTCTTCTCCCACCCCAGCCCTGAGTCCGAGTTTCCTCCTCTGTAAATGGTGAGCCTTTCTCTGCTGGCAGGTGCTGTGAGTGTGCCTGTGTACATGGTTTATGTGTGTGTGGTGGGACCCAGTTGCCAACCTGTCCATGGCCATCCACCCCCTCCCAGGAGGGTGGGCGGCATTCCTCTCAGTGCCCCCCAGAACCTTGAGCTTGACAGCACCTGCCCAGGGACACTCTCTTCATGGCTGTTCCCAGCAGCTCCTCAGCGGAACCTTTCACTCCAAGGAGAACCAACCTCTCCACCCCCTGAGCAAGGTACTTCTGCTTCCCTTCTCTCCTGTGAAAGGGCCTCCAGGGTCAAGAGGCACCCCAACGCCCCTCACATCCCTCCTGCCACCTGCTGCCTCCATTTCCCACTCACGTTTCACCCTGTCGCCCACCCCGGCTGAGCAGTCTCCTTCCTCACACCCTCTGCTCGGCCTCGGGCAGGTCCATCACTCGCAGCCCATGGCACATGACCAGTCACGCCGAGGCACACCTGACGGGTCCTTCTGGCGCTCGGGCCTCGCCCACCAGCCGGCTGGCATCTCGCTTATGTTTAAGAAATACCTGCCATTCAAGCAGGTATTTGCACACCCGGTTCATAGCAGCATGATTCCCAGAAGCCAAAAGGTGAAGCTACCCAGGTTCTGCCCACTGAGGAACAGAGAAGCAAAGCGTGGTCTGTGCGCCCAAGGAAACCGTGCTAGGCCTTAAAAAGGACATTCTGACACAGGCTGCAACCCAGAGGCAGCCAGAGGCCGAGGCCACTGGACCAAGTCAGAGGCACCTGCTACATGTAAGCCACGTGGTGAAACAGGGCAGTGAGGTCCAGAGGGAGGAAGTGGGCTGGGCACAGGGGTGGCAGGTACGTGCTTAATGGGTAGAGGGCTTTAGTTTTAAAAGATGAAAAAGTTCTGGAGATGAAGAGAAAAATACTGGATGGTTTTGCTGCCAGGAGGAACACAAGGAAACCAAACAAGGGATGAGGAAAAAAGGAAAACTAGCAGGCAAACTAGAAATCAGAGACATTCAGATGGGGAGGCAGAGGGGGACAGTCAAAACGGGGGAGAGAAGAACACAATAGACTATGGTGGTGGTTCACGGGCGTCTTGGTGGTAGAAATTTTACAGGGATTACACCAGAGAGGAGAACAGACAACAATGTAAAAAAATATAAATAAAAATATAAAAAAAGAAAAAGTTCTGGAGACGGACAGTGGTGATGGTTACACAGCATGTGAATATATTTACTGCCACTGTATACATTTAAATATGTTTAAAATGGTAAGTATGTTTCACCACCAATTAAAAAAAAGCTACAAACACCCTCTGTCCTTCCCTCTGAGTCTTTCCATATTCATCTTCTTTCTTCTAGAACACCTTCCCTCTCTTTTCTCCCCATCTGTCCAAATGTTATCCATCCTAATGGACTTGGCTCCCCTCCTCCAGGAAGCCGCGCCTCCTCTTCCCTCTCCCTTGACATGTGCTATCCTAGTCCTGCTGTAATCCACACTATTCCTGGGGGCCCCTTCTTCCTGGTGGGTGTGTGGGCGCCCAGAAGCAGGGTGTCATCTCCTCCCACTCCCACTGCAGGGTGCCCACTGCCAGGCTCTTACCTTCATGCTGGCCACTGCCAATGTGCTCTTCAGCCGATACTTCCCATCCTTCTGGGGATACGTGTACAGGAGCACATCACTCATCTGGGGGAGGGGGGAACCTTGTCAGGCTGCGCTAGGGGTCTGTCCTGGAGAACCTGAGCTCCGGGGACCACGGGGGTTTTGTATTTCCCAGTGACCCCACAGAACAAATAACTCTGGGCTGGCACACGAGAGTGGTCCCCACAGTTCCGCTGTCAAGGAGAAGCTCCGGAGGAACAGATGCTGGTGCCCACGAGAAGGCAAGTACAAAATGTTCCCAGAGGACTAATTCATTACAGCTCCTCCGAGGAAACAGCCCTCGCGTCTCTCAGCAGGTGTCCACCCGTGGAATACTACATGGAAAACAACAGGGGCCTGCCAAGGACACGCACCACATGGATGACTCTCGAGAGTACGCCGAGCGCGAGTCAAACGGGGAGGGGTGTGGGCTGCCTGGTCAGCGTGTGACGGCCTGGGATGCTAAATATCAGGTGGGGGAGGGAGTGACTGCCAAGGGCACCGGGGGCTCTCTGGGGCAGGGGAAACATTCAGTATCTTGACCCAGGTGGTGGTCACACGATGATGTGCATTTACTGCCATGCACGTAAGACTGCTGCACTTTCTCTACATAAATTAGGCCTTAACAGCAGCTTAGTTAAGGAGGGGAGCGGGAGGGGGGAGAGGAGATGGGATGAGGGGAGCGCACTGCAGAGAGGGGGCTGGTGGTCCCCGTGCTCTGCGGCACCTCCAGTGACATAGTAGGTGCTCAATAAATATATGCTGAGGGACCATCTGAAGCTCCTCTTCCCCTTCCGAGCAGGGCAGACAGGAAGAAGCGCTTCACCTCCCAGGAGAGAGTGTCTGTCCAGCTAACAGGCTCAGAGTTGATGAAGACAACCCATGCTCCTGGGGCGGGCTGTCCTCGCCCGCTCGGGCTGGGTGACTGTGGACCAGCCGTTTCCTCTCTGAGCCTCAGCCTCCTCACCGACGTGAGGCCCTGGAGCCTCATCACAACTGGGGAGTTGTGGGGGCTGCCTGGGACCTGCCTCCTGGGGTCCCAATCAGCGAGGACTCAGGAGCGACAGGCTCTCTCCCTGCTGGTCACCAGGGCACAGAATGGATGACTGTCCCGCCACTGGCAATTCTCAGGACCCTGCATCCCAGGCACAGCAGCTCGGAGCCCTGGTCCGCCAGGGAGCTGCCATGTGGCCTCGGGACAGCTCTTCCTCTCTCTGGGCCTCACTGTCTCTGAGCGGAGCCAGAGCCAGGGCAGACTGGATGCCGGCAGACTTTTTTGCAAAGGGTCAGATCTAAATGTTTTAGTCTCTGGAGTTTACACGGTCCCTGTCACGGTTCCGGTTCCTGTCACGGCTCCTCACTCAGCCCAACGTGGCTGTGGATGACCCGTAAGCTAAGGAATGAGGCTGTGTTCCAGGAGATCTTTACTAACACAAAGATCTCAGGAGCGACAACCCCAGATTCAGGGAACCTTTGAGCTCCTTCTGGTTCTGCTCTGCTCTTCAGGACCAGAGCTGGACACTCACCCTGTGCCCGGTGTGGCCAAAGTACTCCACCACCCTCATGCAGGCTCCCCCAATCCATGGATGGAGAAACTGAGACCCAGAGGGGCTGGCCAGCACGCCCAGGGTCAGAAAGCTGGGGTGGTGAGTGAGAGCCCCTCTGTTCTGATGTGCATAGGTATATTGGGGTGGCTCTGCCCTGGCCCCTCCTGGGGACAGTGACTGGCCTGGCAGAGACTTGCTCACAAACTGCCCAGAGCGGTCGCAGCCTCGCTGTGGCTGCCCCTCTGCAACTGCTGCCGTGGCCATCAGCACGCCCCCTGAGGTTTTATGTGCACCCCCTAAATGCCCCAACCCTCCTCTCCTCTTCAAAGTCTGTCTCACAGCCCTGATCCAGAGGGACGAAGAGGAATTCCTCATGGAGGTGTGAGGGGGCATCTTTTGCACTGAGCTAGTTACCCATGGCCCACCCACTGCTTGGGGACACGGGGGCGATGGGGGACCCCGCCACAGCCTTGCTGAAACCCATGTGTCATGAGAAGATGCCCAGACTTTGCTCTGCAGTTAAGATTGTTATAGGAACGGGCCCCCACGAGGACGGGGAATTCCCAAGCATGCGCTTCCAGCTGCGTCCTGCCCAGGGCCCTGTCACCTTCTCCCAGATGTTCCTCTAGCACTCGACGCCCACTCAGGGGAAGGCCCTGTGATGGAGAGAGAAGGGGACCCAGCGCAGACCTTGGGGGAACGGGTGGTCTAGTAACAGGGGAGTTGGGGGAGACCCGGCCTTTCATCATGATGGGGGAGCTCTGATGGAGCGTCAGACTGGATGCTGGAGGGAGGCTGGAACAAGAAGGGTAGGGGCGGAGGAGGGAGGGGTGAGACATCTGATAGAGGTGACCTTTGAGCCCCACTTGAAGGGTAAAGAGGGTTTGCAGGGCAGAGAAGAGGGTTCCCAAAGAGCCCTTGTTTGAGGGCCGGTGAGTGAGAGATGAGGACAGATGAGACAATGACGCTGTGCCTTTGGCATCGAAGGTCCCCAAGAGAGGCACAGGGAGAGGCAGGGCTTGGCCCCAGATGGTGGCCAGATGGGGAAGGGCTGGGGCCTCAGTGGCATTCCCTCAGCTCCCTCATTTCAGGAGGGACAACTCCCCAGGACACGGGAAGGGCTTGGTGAAGCGCTGGTCCCTCATTCAGAGCCGACGTTTGACCCCACAGCCCGTGCACCATCCTGGACTATCTCTGTCCCGGAGAAGGGCAGACTTGGGGCGACCCAGTCCTGGGCCCCAACTCCTTTCAGGGCTGTGCTGGGACAAAGGAAGCTGGTGACTACGCAGCCCTTGGCAGGGGGAGGACCTGCGGCCCATGGGGCAGTAGGAGAAGCTTCTTAGTAATTCAAATAAGCTGCATCTAAGTGCCTCATTTAATTCCTCCCGGTTCCCAGTTACTCCTGGGAACTTGCTCATGGTTTCCTGTTGCTCATGGGAAATCAGAGGCTGGGATGTCTGTCTTGTCTAAGGGATAAGGAGAGTTAAATGCCAGGTCAGGACCCAACTGCTCAGACTAGCTCTTTACCACATAGATGGCCCTAAATTCAAGAATGTGGATTTTTTTCTCAATAGAAAATTAAAATACTAAGTCTCCAAAGGAGAACAAGGGATGGTGCTCCCCACCCACACCAACTGAACTCCAAGCCCAGGGCCGGGCCACTGGACAGGGGCTAAGAGCTCTGGTATCAGCAGCCACGGGGTGGGCATCCCTGCCTCACAGGCTGGACGCTGGTGCTCGGTCTGCCTGTGAATCCAGAGTGTGGCCATGGAGAGTTGCCTCCTGTTCATGCCCTGGGACTCAGTCCCGCACACCCCCACACCTGAGCAGACCTGGCCATGCCCACCTCCTCTCTGGACCTGGTGCTAAGGTGCTTCCTTAGAGATTGCCAGTTTAAGGAAGTCCTGGCTTGGGCAGGTTTCAGATGGGAACAGGGATCACTGATTTGGGCGACATTCCATTCAAATAACAAATGGGGTAGGGGTAAAGTCTCCGCTTGCCAGAAAGCTCAGCTGTACAGAAGGATTCTGTCTTTAAGAGCCCACCCTGTCCTCATCCTCCTCCTGGGAGACCGGCCCTAGAACACTTCACAGACCCTGAGAGTCTGGGACTTGGGTTTGGGGGCCAGGGACTTACCAAGAAGAGGTGCCGCGGGCGTCTGTTTCTCCCTGCTACTTTCATCAGAGTCCCTTCCTTCAGAAACTCCTGTGGAGAGAAGCAGAGGCCAGCTGTCAGGCTGGAGCATCCTTGTTCAGCCTTCCTGCAGCACCCCACCTTGAAGGACAAGCCCCAGACACTGTTCTGGTCCAGACAACGACCCTGTTGCTGCCCTGAGCAGCCCGCAGTCCCTTCAGAATGGAGATCCTGAAGGTCTGCTAGAACAGCTGGAGACCTGTGAAGAGCGCTAAGCCCCCTCAGTGCTGGAGCAGACACAGCAAACACCGAAGTGATGGCCCAGGCCCAGGATCTCAGACCAGGGAGGTCCCGCCCCTTTGGTTTTGAGCTGAGTGTTATGTTTGTTATTGTTGTTATTATTATTTGGAAGCTTAAAAGTGGGTACAATTGTCTTTTTAAAATGTTATTTTATTTTTTAGCAAGAAAAAGGATTTATTTACATATGGAGTGAGCAAAGGGAGAGCTAAGAGAGAGGAGAAGAAAATCTACTGGCCGGCACGTGGCCGATGCGCCGTCCTGCACATAGGCGGTGTCCGCTGACCAGAGGACCAGGTGCGGCTGAAGCAGCCAAAGGGCAAAAAACATGATTTTTAAAAATGCTTTGTTGGGCTCTTGAGAGTTGGTTTTCCTGATTTCTCAGGAATGCTGGGAAGCGAAGTAATTTGGGGGTGTCTTCCCAGTGGTGGAGAGCACCATAGGGAGCACTGCACCCCAGTGATGCTGCTTCTGCCCAACGAGTCCAGCAAAGCCCACCTGCCGCCTGCTCACACCCGTCTCGGGCACACAGCACCTGCAGCCAGCCCACCAGGCCAGCCCAGCCTAACGGTGGGCTTCTCGGAGCCTGCCACTCGCCAGGCTGCCCCCACCCTGCCCATGTGGCGTGCACTCACCCTTCCTGGCTGGAGGAGGTCCCCCTGGCCCCGAACACTGTGCTCGATGTGGACCAGCTTCTGCAGGTTTTCCTGTGGGTGGGAGCGGGGTGAGGGGGAGAGATCAGGGCCTCTTGGAGGGGTCTTATCTCCTTGGTAAGGGGCAGCACTGCTTCTTCTTCAGAGCAGCAGCATGGAGCCCAAAAGGCCTGGCCCAAATCAGACCTCCTGTCTGTGACAGGACAGGGAGCTAGACCCAGGTCTGAGCCAGGCATATCCACCAGATGTGCAAACCATCATCAGGCCAGCCCATCCAGGGACCTGGGGAAATGGGCAGGGTTTTGTGTCAGCCTGTACCATAGCTCCTCCTGGCCCCCTGCACTGCCCCCAGTCTTCCTTGTGAGCACCTGGTAGAAACTCCTAGAAAAGAGTTTGCAAGTGACTGCTGATGTCCCTCATGTCTGGGTTCCGTGTTATTCTAAACTGCTCCCCCACCCATTCTTGACCTTTAAGAATTCACTGACATTTTAGTGGCTTTCTTCTCACCCTCCTTTATGCCAACACCCCTGCTTCTTGCTCATCCCCAGAGGTACGGCTATTCCAGGGCCTCTTATCCCCGTGCCAGTGCCTGTCAGTCACTGGGACTTGGGCCAGTGGGCACCTCGGGACGCAGCCACCAGCAGGCAAAGAGTCACCAGCGGGAGAAGAGTCCTGACTGCACCTTGCCAGGCTCTTCTCCCATGGGGGCGGGGCCGGGGGCGGGGTTCAGCTTTCTGCACAGGCAGAACCAGGAACAGTTGAGGGATCCTGACCCACATCCGCTGGACAGGCCTTTTCAGGCTGACTCTCTGCACCTGGTTTTCACCTCAGTGGTTCATTTTCGAACGTGACCCTGAGTGAGGCTCACGGGACACCTGCCCCACACTTAGGATGCTCATTATTGCTTTTAATCTGGGGTGCTGTGCAGGGGGGATGAGGCCTACCTCTTCACATAGCGGATGGCCAGTGGGACTGACGCTCCCCAGCCACGCCCATAAGCAGCTTGGACCCGTCTCCTCCCTGGGTGGTGGGTTTTCTTGGTTACTCTCCCCCTGAGGTCCCACCCTGGGTTGCTGAAATCTGGATGTTCCAGGCCTTATGGGGATGTCAGCTCAGAGGAGAAGCGATGGACCAGACACCAATGGGGTATCAGGCCTCACAGTGAGACCAGGTGGGCATTTCCATGGCACCCAGAAAGGAAAAAATGGTCAACCCATATTTATACCCAGAGAAAGTACCTTGCAAAACTGAAGGTAAGTTGAACAATTAAGTCAATGAGTGATGGACTGTGGGAGCCAGGTTTCTTACTGTTGGAGTGGAAATTTACAGATAACCAAGGAAAAGAGGCTAGAATTCAGCCATGTGACCGTGATGAGAGATGGGGACGTCAGTCAGAAGTCATGTTCACTTAATAAAAATACAGAAGGTCATGAGTAGAAAATCTACTGATAGGAATATACACATGGGCTAGTGTTTATCTTTCTTTGCTTTGTCAGTTGAGAGGGGTTAAAGTAAATGGTACCCCAGCAGCAATAAACACACCTGGCACCCAAATCTTGGTCTCTACTACCATTATCTAATTAAAGGAGCCAGAAATCCTTGGAAAAATGGGTCAAGAAATATGTAAGCTGAGCCTGGGGCATCCATAATGTCAGAAAACAAGGAAGTGCCCAAATAAACACATACCCCTCAAAACCTGCATTGATGGGAGTGTGTGATCAGGGCACATGAACCAACTGAATGGATTCCCAATGGCCAAAGCTGCAACAATTTGGGAAATAAATACAGTGGCATGGGGTTGTAACCCAAACATAAAATAAATATCTATGAGTCTACTGATCTAAGTGAATGATTTAATTATAATGATTGACTACATTAATAAATAAGGGAGGAGAGACATCACTCCCTTGCAGAAGATTTCTTAATTTAGGTTCTCCATTCTGAAGGAGAGAAGGCATAACTATCCGTCCCCAAATGTGTGTTCCACATGGAGACCTTCTATAGACAAGGTAGGGAGGAGGAATAACTTCATTTGTGGAGAAACCTGACAGGTGCGACCTCAGCCAGGTGAGCTCAAGGTCAACGATGACACCACAAATTATGCTGTAGGTACAGGTATCCAACCTCTACCTCACCTGCCCTGTTCCACCATTCAGCCGAGCTAGTGTCCTGCCACCATGCCTATGCCAGTCCAGTGTCTCTTCCCGGCATACCCTTCCCCCATCTGCCACAAGCACTCATACCAATGAGGAAGGGACAGCTCCCTCTCTGAAGCTGACAGCATTTTCTCTCTGCCTTATGATGTTCACCATGGCTCTTTATGTGTCCACATGTTTACTGTTCCACTCAGCTGTGATTTCTCAAGGGCTGTGATGTCTTATTTCTGTACCTCCAATGCCCAGCCTGACCCATACTAGCTGAGCAACTGCTTAGCAAACACACCGCCTTCCCTCCCATCTCTGCTTGTGAAGGCATCACTAATAGATCACGAACTCTGCTTCCATGTTGCAGGGCCTTAGCCTTAGAATCATCTGGGTCTAACGCTCTAGCACATTTACGGCTTAGCAGAGCAGAAAGTATGTGGACACCAGGAACCTATTAACTGCTCAGAGAGAGTTGGGATATGCCTTGAGAAGGGTGATCCTTGGAAGAAACCCAATAAAAGCCCTGATCAGTATAGACAAACACTGGAATCACACACATAAGATCTAGAGCTATGAGCTCTCCAGAGGAGTGGGTCTCAATCTTTTCTGAGCAGAACATTCACCTGGGTGCTTGATAATCATTTCTACCCTCAGACATTCTGAAGAGGAAGATCCCAGAGGTGCTGAGAAATCTGCAGTTTACAGAGCATTTCTGGAACTGATGCCTCAGACCACAGTTGGTATTTTACTCGTCAGGTCTGTGTGAGCCTGGAGCCTTCCTCCTTGTCTGAATGGCGAGCTGGGGGCCCAGAGAAGGACACACAGGACCTGAGGTCACACAGCAAATGTCAGCCCTAGAATCCAAGGCTCTTGTGTCTTGTGAGATAAATGGCTGCCTGCAGCCCCCAGAGGTGGAACAGCACAAGGCGGACCTGGGCAAGGTGAAGGGGGTCCTGGAACTTGTACCCCAGGGAAGGTGCCTAGGGGATGGACTTACCCCTTGTTCCATGCTGTCATTAGCATGGTCTGTGATTTTGGAGATGAGGGTCAGTGCACCTGAGGAGGGAAGCAGAGCAAATGTCAGGGACGTTTGTGGGGGGCCAGGCTGGTCACCACCATGCTTGCCTCTTCCCATCTATTATCCCCATCCCCAAGCCCCATGCATGCCCCCTCGCAGCCCAACATTCCCTGAGGTTGCTATCCTCACAGGACCTTGCCTGTGGGTGGGACTGTATTTCCTCACGGTAGGGTCAGGTCACAGGCCTAACCTCTGGTCTACCATTGCTTTCTAAGTGGATAGTGGTCTGACCACTCTGTGCCTCACTTTCCCTGTCAGGGAAACTACAGGGACAGATACATAGAATTGAGGGGAAAACCTGGAGCCTAGGGAGAGATGTCAGGCCAGGCCCCATCTGCTACTATCGACTCTGGTCACCCCTTCTCTTCTGACTAACGTCTGCACCTCCTGGGGAGTCCCAGTGGTTGAGGTGGGAGGAGAGTATCTCAGAAGCCCAGAGGCTTCGAGCACCAGCTGGTGGGAGGGGGCTCTGTCCTGGGCCTGGAACTGGTGTAGAGTCCAGAGCTAGGTCCAGGGGAAACAGGAATGTGTCTCCTCCTCCAGGCTCACACTGGACTTACCCTGTGTGTTCTCGTACTCAGCGGAGTCCGGGCAAAGGTTATTTAAATAATCTGTAGGCAGAACAAGAGCCAGTGTCAGTGTGCCTGGGAGACTGGCACCCCTGGTCCACAGCAGGAGCCCCTCTCTCCAAAAGCGGCAAAGTTCCATAACAGGAAGTCCATCCTCTCACCCCATCACAGCACCACACTCGCACAAGCCCAGGCCCCCAGGGCCACCACGAACATCCCATCGCCACTGCGAGCCAGCCGTTCACTCACTCCCCAAACATTTACAGAGCCCCTGCTGTGTGCGTGCCACTGGCTATGCCTTTGGGATACAGATGTGAAGGGCAGGTGAACCCCGTCTTCAGGAGGCATACTGGAGTGTGATGTGTTGGACCATTCGTGCATGTACACCGCAAGGCTCCACCTGGCTCACCCCTCCATGGCCACCACCCTCCATCTCACCCTTTTACTGGGGCAACGCTGGCCTTCTTGCTGTTTCTTGAACATGCCAAGCTCGCCCCTGCCCCAGGGCCTTTGCACTCACTATTCCTCCACTGGCACTCTCTTCTCCCAGGTCTCCCCAGGGCTCATGTCCTCACTGTGCTGAGCTCTGTTGAATGTCACCGCCTCAGAGAGGTCGCCTCAGAGCGTATACTCACTGCAGCTCCCTGCCCGCTGTCTCCTTCACCTGCTTTCTTTTTCTCCTGAACTCTGATCACAAACGGGTTCTATTTTTCTTTCCTTCTTTGTTGGCGTACAAGCTCCTCAGCGTGACACCGCCTGACTGCTGAATTCCCTGTTCTCTCTCCAGCATCTAGCACGGGGGGCTGATCCTGAGCTGATGTTCAGTTTAGTATTTGCCGACTTAGTTGAGTGAATGATTCTACCCCCTTGTGCACTTTTCTTACAGCCCTGGTCACTCCCTGGAGTTACACGCAACCATCTCTACGTCCACCTCCCCCGCAGGAAGGCCAGCTCCCCAGGGCAGGGGTCTTTGCCCATTTGGGAGGCAGCTGGGAAAATGGGCCTGTCCTCAGGGACAGGCGTGGGTGTTTCTGGCAAGTGTAAGGAGGGGAGGAGAGTGTGCAGGGAGGGAAGGGAAAAGGACCTAGGCCCGAGCCCCAGAAATGCTGGCATTTTTGGCCCGTGCAGGGAGAGTGGCCCTTCATGGAGGGGGTGTCAGCGGTGGAGGGGCGGGGGGAGGAGAGAGCATCACTCAAAAGCTCTGCGGGAAAGCGGCAGCACGTGGCTAGTGGCAAAGGTACAAAGAGCGCCAGCATGCCCGAGTGGCGAACACCCACTGATGTCCGTCAGGAGGGCTTGGTGACAAGAACCACGTGAGTGCGATGAGAAAATTCCTGCTGCGGGGAGCAGATGCAGGGTGGGCTGGAGGGGGCTGAAGGAAGGCACAGGATGCCCGGAGTGGGGTTCCACAGTGCCGTGGGCCCACAGCTGTGCTGGAGGGGAAAGGAGGTCACAGCCTGGCACCTCTGCAGGGGCAGGCGCAGGAAGTGAGCCTGAGCCTCCCCCACCCCTGATGGCCTCGTGGGAGAGGGGTTGTGATCACACACCTACCCAGACCCCTCCCTTCCCCCTCATCACCTCAGTACGCCTGCCCTCCCCAGGGCCCACCTGTGAGGAGTACTTGGTACTGGAAGAGCCGCTGAACCACCCTCAGCAGCCGGTGCTTCGAGTTCTGGCCGCCTCCTGGCAGGCTCTGCTGCTCCCGAGAGACAAGGACAAAACTCCATCAGCGATCCCTGCGGCCCACACACACCACCCCATTCTCATCTCAGCTGGCCTTCACTCTCCCACTACAGAACCAGGCTCCCCTCCTCCAGGAAGTCCTCCCAGATTAGCACCACCCCCCTGTGACAATTCAGTCCTCAGGCCCATGACCTGTGCTGCAGAGTAACATGCCTTTCCTGGGCCTTGCATCCAGTATTAGTGATAGAAAAGAGACCCCTATTTTTTCTGCCAGTAACCAAATCCCCAATATGTGACCATTTTCTGGTCATTTCTGTGGCTGGGGCCCAGTTTGCATCATACTTTTCTACTGGGATGGGAGGATGGCCACTGAAGCTATGCCTGTGGCTGGGCTCACCACGTTGGCATCCATGGCTCAACAAGGATATTCTGTGTTCCCCACCCCATCCCACCCCACCCCACCTCACCAGGTGTTTCCCCTGCCCCCTGCCTCACACCTCCCAAGAAGCCCCACTGCTTGGCATTAAACCGTTCGGTACCCATGCCCAAGTCCTTAAAGCAGGTGCCCAGGGGAGCAAGGAACCCACCTCAAATTCGCGGACGGCAGCTGCCAGCCGGGGAGAGTGCAGGCAGTTCTCCCCCAGCAGGCTCAGGCACCTGTCGAACTGCAGGATGTGGGCCGCATGGTGGTCAAAGTCCTGCTCCCGGGCCAGGAAGAGGTCGGCCACCTTCTGCTGGTCCTCCCTGAAGAGGGGCAGGGGACAGGACAGTGAGGGCTCAGCCCCTGAACAGGGGCATCCCAGCCTGACCCCACTGTGGTGCTCTTACTTTGAGCAAATCTTGGGCCTCGGCTCCCCCACCCGTCACAGTGAAGACCCTGGCCCCACAGGACGGGGTTGGGAGCGGGGGGCAGCTCACCAGTGCAGCAGCCGCTCCTCCAGCTCCTCCAGGAGCCCCTGGTGCAGCTCGTGGATGGCGGGGAGCTCACTCAGGCCGCGCCTCAGCTCCTCCCTGGACGACCCATCCTTGCCCTCTTGGTCCATCTCATCCAAGGCCCGGGTGACAGCTCCATGGAAATCCTGAAACCCCGAAAGGTCTGTGACGCGCACTGACAGGAGAGGCCCGGCTGGCAGGCTGCAGAGGCAGAGGAGCCCTGGCCAAGCATGGCCTTGGAACCTCTGGCTGCTGTCCCCTGCATTCTCATCCGCAAAACACAGGTGATACACAGGCCTGGGGATGCCCAGGAGCACACCACTCCCGGCACGGAGTGGGCCGTTCCTTCTTTGCAGGAACCTGGGTGCTTGCCCCTTTTACAAGAGGGGTGAGGAGCTGGATTCCTGCTCTGGAGAAACATCCAGCCCCTGCGCCCCACAGTCACTCAGAGTCGAAGAGCTCGGGCCCGGAGCTGGCTCAAAGTAGCGTCTACAGAAATCACCCGCGGTCACTCCTGCGAGTGCTGAGCAGTGACCTGGCGTGAGGAGGCCGACTCCATGAGCGTGTTCAGGCGTGGTGCTAAGACAGCACAAAGGAATACGATGCTGTTTGTGCACAGAATTACAGAAAATGAACAATGGAAAAGGCTAAAGGGAAAAGGGGAGAAACGTCAATTGGGGCTGCGCAGGGGTATAACTCAGGAATGCTTACTTTTCCCTTCTTGTCTCTGTTTTCTGAAATTGCTACTATCATGCTTACTTTAAAAATTAAACTAATGTTAATAGACATTAAAAGAACAAAGCATGCAAGACTGCTCACAACCAAAATATTTTATCTTCAAACACACCTGTTCTTGCAGGTCTATAGTTTTAAATACACAGGGTACCTGAAACCACCTGAAAACGTGCAGTGATGCACAGAGGGAGGCTCAGCCCAGGCGCTGTGTCACCCAGACAGATGGGGAAGGTCGAGTCACCTTTACGCCTTTAAAGTAAGTCAGACCTTGCTTGATTGCCTCCCTGACAGTGAACTCATTACTGGGCAGACAGTTAATTCCATTGCTAAACAGTTCTCACTGCTAGAAAGGTCTCGGTGTGTAGACTCTGAGGGGGGAAGTACCCAAGAGGAAGGACAGCCCTTCCCCCAGGAAGGCTTTCTGGTCTCTCTTCTCAGTAAAGGAGAAGAGAGTAGGGGCCTGGAGGTGACAGGAGGGGACAGGAAAGAGGGAGGTGGGATGGGGCACAAGCAAAGGGGGAGAAAGAAAGAAGATAGAGAAAGAGGAGGCAAGACATGGAAGAGATGATGGAGAGAGGGAGACAGATGAGGAAAGCAGAGGCTGGAGCGGTCTCCCTAGAGCTGCCTGTGGAACATCCGTGAAGAGGCCGCCATCGCTGGCAGATGGGGATGCAGATGTGGTGGTGACTGAGGTCTCCACATCCTGAGTTCCGCAGCCCGTCAGGCATTGGCCTGTTGCTGCCACCACCTGCTCTGCCAGGACTTGGGGGACCGGACAGGCTGCCCAGTCTGGCTGAGGGTCCCAAGGATGGAGTGGAGCTGGTTCCTGTCAGAGGCCCCATCTGGAGTAAATCAAGGTCTGGGGAATCCTTCAGTCCCATCACCAAGGTCAGCAACCAGTGGCTGGATTCTCGAAGGCATGTGTGCCCTCATGTGGGGGCTAAGGCTGCAGCTCTGAGTAGAAACTGAGCCTCTTTGAGCCTGACCTAGCAAAGCCATTTCCTGTTATGTGCTTAGGAGACAAAGTGTGACTCCCGTGCCAGGGGGCAGCCAGAGGGAGGTGGTCTTTAACTCGCCTCTCTTCCCACAGTGCCTCCTGGGCCGTGGGCCCTGCGGAACCTGCCGTGGAGGTGTGATTGCTGAGCTGAACAGGAGCGCCCAGGCAGGAGGGCTGTGAGTCTCCATGCTCAGAGACCCGGCCCCCAGCCCGGCAAGGTCTCCTCAGCCCCAGCATCCCAGGGAAAGAAAGAAAATACTCAGGGAGGACAATACCCCTGTGCATGGGGAGCTCCTGGTAGAGACCAGCACGCTCTCTCGTAGGCCAGCTTGAAGCTCAGCTGCTCCATAGTGCCTGCGGGCAAGTGCCCTCTCTTGCAGCCTAAGCTCCTTCATCTGTGCGATGGGGATAAGGTACCACCAAGGCTAACGAGAGGCTCGTCCTGATGTTTAAAGCTGCTTTGCAAACTGTCAAGTGCTAGTCCCACAGCAGCTGTGATTATGCTTGAGACGCGACAGCATCACAGCACGGCCACATTTCTTTGTCTCCTACCCTGTCAAGTCCAGCAGAGTATGTGACACGAGAAGGGGGTCTATAATGCCAGGTGGTGGATGGACTGCAGGACCCTTAAGACAGAAGAGAAGTGGCTCGTGGCAGTCTCCCTGAGGTCCAGACCCAGAGCACCACAGAGGGAAGGAGACGGGGACGCGGGGCGATGGGGAAGGACAAGTGGAGACAAGACGATGGGGCACCTGCATTGCGCTCCAGGGAGCTGGAATATTAACTGCTCTGCAAGCTGGTTCCTCGTCTGTAATTAATTCTCACTAAATTGACTCGGTCCCAGTGGGCAGCACGGCCATCCCCAGCACTTCAGAAACTAGCATAATCGGAGTTGCCACAAACATCCTCCCTTAGACACAGCGCGGTGCCGGGACACAGGGGCCGGGTGCCTTCCACCCCTCCCTGCAGGGTTTCGGCTGTCTCGGTAGCTCTGCCCAAGACAGCACTTGGGGGTGCAACACCCATCTCAAGGAGAGGAGGTGGGTATGAGATACCTGGTCCTTGTCTCGCTCTTCACTCAACAAGTATTTTCCACCCAAGCCCAGAGGAGAGAGTGAGAGCAGCAGAGACACAGTTGTGTCCCTGAGTCTGCAATGGAGGGGTGGGAGAGATAAACAAAAAGTTGATCTCGGGCCTCCCTGGTGGTGCAGGCGGTTGAGCGCAGCACTGTGAAGCTGTCCACAGCCTCTGCAGTGCCGGCTCGATCCCCGCTGGCCTCGGAGCAACCCACATGGCGAACAGACCTCTCCTGTCTTCCTGCTGCTCCCCTCAGCAGTGTATTTCATCAGTCTGCCTGTTCTGCTCCCTACTCTGTCTCTGGTGAATCCTCTCACCCTCCCGGGCCTCTGGCCTGTACCCCAGCTCTTGTATAAATAAAATAAATCTTCTTAAAAAAAAAGTTGATCTCAACACTGGTTTACGTGCTGGAAGCACAGGCCATGGCTAGCACAGCAAGGAGACCTGGTTTAGCTTTGGGAAGACCTGCCACTGAGATGAGGCGGGGAGTGTTCCCGGACAAGGCCCTGCGGTAGAAGAAGAAGTGAGACACCGAGCATGGCCTGGGTGCAGGGGGTGTGTGTGGGCACAGGCTTATGTGCCCACCCTTGCAAGAAGTCGGAATACAATGCTGGGGGGCCAGGCAGGGGATCCCTCCCTCAGGGCCCTGCAGATTCCTCAGGGATTTGGGCATCACCCTGGAGTGACAGGGAGTCACTGAAGGGTGCTGAGCAGGGGAGCCTCTGGCCAAACAAATACCAACCTCAGCCTTTCCCACCACATCCCCTACACACCTTGGCAGGGGTGAGCTGCCTGGGAACTCTGCTCCCCTTTACCCTGTCAATCACCTGAGTGTGCTGTGGAACCCTGAAAACAATTGTCAGTGGGGCTGGCAAAGACTTCTTGAACTGTAAGCTATATTACTATTTTTAAATTTATTTATTTTATTAAGGTAACACTGGCTTACAACACTGTATATGTTTTAGGGGTACAGGTTCATTCCTCTTCACAGGTATGTGACCACACCATGGCCACCTCCAAGGCACCATAGTCCCTACCATGGCACATCGGACTCTACCCTTTGCTCCTGGGCAAAGGATTTGAAAGACATTTCTTCAAAGAAAATATACAAATGACCGAAAAGCCCAAGAAAAGATGCTCATTAGTGCACTCGTCATTAGCGCAAGATGAAAACCACAATGAGATACCATCTCACTCCCATGAGGACAGTTACATGAAACAGACATGTCATAACCAGCACTGCGAGGAAGCGGAGGAAGCAGGACCCTCACACACTGCTGGTGGGAGTTGAAATGATGCAGCTGCCTTGGAAAACAGCCTGGCAATTCCTCAGATAATTAAAGTATTACCATATGATGCAGTAAGTTCACGCCTAGGAATATACCAAGAGAACTGAAAATACTTTCACGCGAGAACCTGTAAGTCAGTGTTGATAGAAGCATTTTCCTAATAGTGAAAAAGTGGGAAGAACCCAAATGCACACCAAGGAAGGAATGGATAGACAAAATGTGGTCCATCCGTGGGGGAATATTACTTAGTCACTAAAAAGGAGTGAAGTACCGACATAAGCTACCATGTGGATGCATCTTGAAAACAACACAGGTGACATGAAAGAAGTCAATGATGAAAGACATAAATTGCATGGTTCCACTGAAATGAAATGTTCAGAATGGGCAAGTCAACAGAGACAGAACTAGGCTGGTAGAGGTATGGTGCTGGCAGCCGGGGGTAGGAAATAAGAGCTCCTAGGTACAGGGTTTCTTTGGGGGGTGATGAGAATGTGTTAAAATTGATTATGGGGTGCCTCCCCCAGTGGGGGGCTCCCCTAAGCAACATGCTGTGAAGCAGACTGCAGCCTCTACAGCGCCGGTTTGATCCCAGCCAGCCGGGAGGGCCCCACATGGCACAACAGACCTCTCCTGTCTCACCCAGCTCCCCTCAGCAGTGTATTTCATCATCCGCCTGTTCTGTTCCCCGCTCTGTCTCTGGTGAACCTCTCATCCTCCTGCGAATCAGGCCTGTACGCCGGTTCTCATATAAACAAATAAATAAATCTTTAAAAAAATTGATTATGGGATGGCTGCCCACCTCTGGGAATCTACCAAACCACTGAACTTTACACTCTGAATGGGTGAATCATACAATATGAGATTTTTATTTCAATCATGTTGTTTGGAAACTGACTAGGGAAGCCACAGATTGGGAGAATATTCCTAAAACCTGTATCTGAAAATGGACTAAATGGACTTGTACCAAGAATATTTAAGGAACTACCACAAATCAATAAAAAAAAAGACAACAATCCAATTGAAAGGCAAGCAGAAGATATTTTTCAAATGAGGATTTCCAAGTGGCTAATAAACAGAAAGATAGATAGTCAATTTCATGAATCAGCAGGAAAATACAAATTAAAACCACAGAGAGGAACCCGCCACATCACCAGGGCGGCTGGGGGTGACGATGGGCCCCACCAGCACGCCCGCAAGCCGGAGCTGCTGGCAGGCCTTCCGGTCATCTCTGCCACTGATTTGTGACCCTCGTGGGCCATGTCTAAAGAAGCACGACACACCTGTGCTTGCCCTCTGACCCAACAATCCTAGGTAAATACGGAGGTGAAATGAGATCACATGTTCCCTACAAGATACGACCAGGAATGTTCACAGCAGCTTTATAACAATCCAAACTGGAAACCGTCCGAATCATCATTAACAGGGAGACAGACACCCCAATCATGGTACATTCATGCAAAAGAAAACCTATCACGTGAAAACCTGGGTGAATCTCACAGCTTTGTGAGTTAGAAAGTCAGATGCAGAAGATGATGCAATTCAGGATGCCACCTGTGTGCCAATCCAAGGTGATGCCTGGATGTCAGAGGCATCTATGGAACACCTACCCACTAGGGCAGAAAACACATTCTCTGTGGGTCAATGTGGCACTGTCTGCAGGATCTACCACATCCAGGTCATGAAACCAGTCTCGATACATTTAGGAGGACTGCAGCCACACAGGCACGTTCTCTAGTCACAATGGAATTAAATTAGAAATCAGTAGCAGAAGGAAATGTGGGGAATTCCCAAATATTTGGAAATTAAACGACATTTAAAATAACTGATAGGTTGAAGAGGGGAAATTAGAAAGTATTTGGAACTGAATGAAAATGAACACAACATAACAAGTAAACAGAGGCAAACATCCAAGGATGAGAATAAAGGGTGTAAGAGTGAGTGCAGAGAAGGAGGGGTAGCTGCATTCATCACCCTCCCTGAGTTTACAACCCTCGAGGTGGCCTCATTGTGGGGGGGGGCCCAGCCCTGTCCCTTGCCTTTGGGTCTGGCCATCAGACTTGTTCTGGTTAATGGGATGCAGGCAGGATGATGATGTGCCAGTTATGAGCTTGGCCTTTAGAAGCCCTATGTTTCTACTCTCCTCTCGACACCCGAGAAGAGCTTCCTTGGAGTGTTTGGTGCCCCTTTAGCCAGGGCCCCAGAAGGAAGACCCAGGAAGCACAGTCACAGAGCTGAACTCAGCCTTGACCACTTAACTCCTGGTAGACCCAGCTTCCCTTGCTGAGATGCAAGGAGATGCTGTCCAGGGAAGTTTTCAGAAAAAAAAGATTTCAGAAAATATTTTTTTCAAGGGGACTAACTCAGCATGACCTTTATAGTTCTTCCACTTTTTCCTTCTTCCTGCCTGGGATGTGGGTATGATGGCTGGAGCAGCTGCAGTCATCCTGTATTCATGAGGAATTTTTCAAAATGCATCCAGCAGGAAGACAAACAGGACCTTGGTCTCTGAGAGTGTGGAGCTGCCAAACATGACCTAGGTCTCTCACTTCTGGATTTATTTCATATGGAAGAATCACCTCTACCTTAATTAAACCATTATAAACTGGGTTTGTATCACTAACAGTTGAACACAATTTTTAAGTGACACAGAATGACTAGGAAATTATGAGGAAAGGATTCCTTAGTCGACTGCATTTTCAAAAATCGGCCATAACAATATTTTCTATCTCACATGGTCTTTATGTGAGCTGGACATTCTTCCCACTGAATGGAAGGGCCCACGCCCTCTCTCCTTGAACTTGGGTGGACCGTTGTGACTGTCTCAGCTGAGAGTGTGGTGGAAGTGTTCTCTGAGACTGCCAAGGCTTGGCCATAAAAATGTCACACACTTTCTCCTCCGACACCCACTCTGGGAGCCCAACCATCACACGTGAGGAAGCCCAAACTGGTCCATGCAGACGTGTGACATGCACCAGCCCCCTCCCCTGACATATCACATGACCTCATCAGCTCTGTGGGTGTCTGCTGTGTTGACCACCTGTGGACAGGCCCTCCTCCATCACCCTGGCCTGGGAGAGTCCTTCAAAGTCTGTCTCAGAGGCACCTCTTCTGCCTACCTTCCTGGATACCCTCAGAGGGGAGTAAGTCTCCCCCACATTCCTGCAGACTTTGCATAAAACTTCAGTTGTGCAAATTATATCCACCACAGAGTAATATCATGGTAGTCTGCTCACTTTCTTTTCAGCTCCACCCCTTCCCACATACAGAAGGAGAGACTCACTCGAGGGTAGGTTCTGAGACTTTGTCATCTTTGGAGCTGTAAGGCCTGGTTCAGTGCCTATGGCACTGTATAAATCCTGGATGTCCCATCCAGAAGGAAATGAGTTACCTGGAGGACGGGAGCAAAGGAGGGAGCAAGGGAGGGAGGCAGGCTGGCAGACATGGGTGGGTGGGTGAGTGGGTGATGGATGCTCGGATGAGGGAGTTGATGAATGGCTGCACGTGTGGATGGAGGATGGGTGGATGACTAGGGGTGTGTGAATGGGTGCATGGATGGATCATTGGGTGGATGGACAAATGAAAGGACAGATAAGTGGACCAGAGGGTGACTGTATGGGTAGATGGGCAGGTAGATAAACATGATTATGACTGCACTCTTGGAAGGATGGAAAGAAATCTTTAAACCAGAAGTCAGGAAATTTTTTCTGTAAAGGACCAGATAATAAATATTTTAGGTGTTGGGAACCACAAACAACCTCAGTAATATATTCTTCTTTGCCCTTTATCCCACATATTTAAAAGATGTAAAGTCCATTCTTAGTCACGGGCTGTACAAAGATCTTGACCATTAGGACTTAATTTTAGATGCCCAGAATGTTTAGTAATCCCTGAGTTAGCACTTGATAAACATGAATTAAATCCCAAACACAGAAAACCAGAGGCACCTTTCACTTCCCCCCTCCCCCAGATAATGGGAGGGGTCAAGGGCACTTCTAGTTGGAGGGTGCAAAGTCCACCCCTCCCTGTTACCGGGGTTCAAGAGTATGGCATTTCTCTAAGAAACTCCAAGTGAGAACCTGCCAACTTTAGGCATCAGGGATGCACCCAGGCTGAGGAGTGGGGAGAAGCCCAAGTCTGTGGGTCTTCTGGAGACTCATGTTCCCGGGTGGGGCAGGGAGTCCTATCGTGGCATTTCTGCCACTTTGATGCCCATAAGCACTGACGTCATACATGGATCTCCAGACCACAATTTCCCGAAACCAGCTTATGAGCTGTGATTTTCATGGGCCCTTTTTTCCCTCTTCAGGCTATTATTATGGATTACAGCAGCTTCAGCATCTTTCCAACTGGCAGGAAGCAGTGCAAACACAGATGGAAGTTTCCTGGTTAAAACCCTCTTAACAAAGTCATAAAACAAAAAGCCTAGCCCTCTGTCAAGCTGCCAGCTCAGAAGCAAGAAGAAAAAGCAGAAGTGTGATTCTTCCTGCCCTGCTAAGTAGATCTTTTGGGTGTGTCTGGGGGGAGCGTCTCAGACCTGAGGGCTGTGGATTTGCCGCACAGGAAGCTCTCATCCTGAAGGGTGAAAATGAGGAGCTGGGAGTGCAAACAAGAGCAGCCCCCCTCTGGGGCCCTGGGGCCCAGCTCACACAGCACGTGACATCAGGCTGACATCACTGACAGGGACCTCAGCTGCATTCAGCAAGTGCCTGGCTGGGCCCCTGCCATGCTGAGCATGTGACCGTGCCCGGGAGCAAGGGGTGCCAGGCCCACTCATTGTGTGACACTGGCTGGCTCCCCCCCAGCTTCCCTACCACCACTGACAGGACGTCCATTCCCAGCTCTGACATTCTCTGACAGACGCTGAGTGACATAAAGTGGTGTGGCCTCAGCAGCTTGGCCCAGAGGAGACCGTAAGTGGATGAGGGCTCTGAGGGACAGGGAACGCCACAAGGGCCCGAGGAAACTGTGTCCACTGTCCCTAACAGTTTGTTGCACTGAATCAAAATCACTGCAAAGGGAGACTTTCCAGGCAGTTTCTGAAAAGGAATTTCTCCCCACAGGCCCAGGCATTATTGCCCCAATGCTGAGACAGCTGAGGAAGCTACCTGATGCGCAAACACATCCCCTCCATGCAGCTCTAAGCACACAGTGAGTGCACACACAGTGCACACACGCACGTGCACTGCACCCCACACCCCTCCCCGCACAGAGCAATGACCAGAATGACATCTGTCCTCCCACCACCTTCCTGAACAGCAGAGCTTAGGAAATCACAAACATCCTTCCAGAAACATGTGTCCAGCCCCCAAGGCCCCCCAACAGGGCAGAGAGGCAGACCCATGCTAGGCTTGCCCCCCACCCCGCCCCGACGACCCTGCAAACTCATGAATCAAGAGCAGACTTCCCCGAAGAGCCTCAGTGAGCACTCGCCGAGTCTCTGTTCATGGCGATCACCTGGCTCCTATATCACAGCCCACTAAGAGGGCAATTTGTTTTGGACAATTAAGATGATTAACTCACCAGATGTAAGTGCTGGAGCATCTCCACGTATCTGCAGAGGGAAAGAGGGTTGAGTTGGCATTACTTCCCATTCTGTATAAGCTGGGGAGGGGTGACGCACGGTTCACAGCTCAAGGTCACGGCAGCTGCGTGGGGACTCACGCTTTCTCTGAGGACAGCAGCTCCTGCGCGATGACATGGGCTCGGGAGTGTCCTTCCACCTGTGGGAGGAAACAGCCATCAGAAGGACAGCACAGGGGGCAGCAGCAGGCTCCCAGGAGGCAAACACTCACTGCTGTGTGACCTCCAACCTCCATGTACCCCTGTGTCCTCATCTGGGAATGTGGAGCACACGGCACCCAGCTCAGAAGATGACTGAGCTATGGCACAGTGCCCACCACGGAATCAGTGCTCCCCAAGAGGCTTCCATCCTGACTGGGGGACGTGTGCCTCCCAACATAGCCCAGCAAGCCTGGACAACCCAGGGGTTCAGAGAAAAGGAAGCCTTTGCCCACACCATCCTCTCCAACGCTTGGTTAATCCTCTGCCTCGCTAATTCCCAGCCACCCTTCAAGCCTGCATCATAGTACCTACCACCTGCTCTGAGGAGCCTGTCTTGACCTCCCTCCCCGAACCAGCTGGGTGAGGCCTCCTTTCTGGGTGGCCCCTCCCAGGACACCAATTCTGTCTCCCTGGAAGGCAGGGATCCTAGATTTCGCCTCTGCATAGCCAGTGCCCGGTGCACAGTAGGTTGCTTTGTTAACTGCAATAAAGACTACGTGCGTGGGTGAATGAATACTCGCTCCACGTGAAGCCCTGACTGAGCTGCTGACCTCTGAAGGGAAGGGGAGCCATTTAACTCATCCGAGTCCCCACTTCTGCACCTGTAAGGTGGGGAACAACAGATTATGTCTATCAACAGGAAGTGTGGCAGGTACTGGGGTACTTTCTCTGTGGCCCCAAACCTGCAGGACCTCAGAAAATGGTTGGGACCCAGAAGAGCTAGGATGTTATGGGGCCTGAGAGAACAGACGGTGGGCACCGGCATGGGCAGCCGGGCTGGGGACAGGGCAGCCCTCGGTGGAGCTCTAGGACACCTGGACGGATGCTGGCGGGGGCTCGACCACCACTTCCTGGTGCCCCTGTGCACAAGCCACTGCCCGAGGTCGCGGCAGCTTCCCCACGTGCGGACAAAGTAACCTGTAACTTGCCTTGGCGCTGAACTTGGGCATTAATAAACTTGAGGGGCCGCAGGAAAAACAGATGATCTAACTGCAGTGATTAAGCTCACACAAGAGTGACCTCCTTTGGGGTTCAACCCACTCCCTGCTGAGAGAGCAACTGCACAGGGTCACGGCTAGGGGCAGACTCTGGTGCCAGGCAGCGTCGGCTCAAATCCTGCCTCCTTTTACCAGGTCACTTCACCGCTTCACGCTCAATTCTCTCGTGTGCAGGACGGTGCAGCAGCACAAGGATCTCCGGCACGCCCTGTGAGGATTAAGTGTGCACGCACATTTCTCTGCCCCTCCCACGCGCACACGCAGCCAGGACAGCAGTGTACCTGGCTACAGCAAGGACCATGGAAACAGCAGCAATAGTTTTCATTTTAATTTTTGCTGTTGAGGTAGCACCGGGAGCTCAGCCATGTGCCCAGGGATGGAAAAGACAAAAAGTAAAAGCAAAAAGTAATTTAAAAGTAGGGGAAGGTCTCCTTGGACAGCGACAGCCAAGGCCGTGGAAAGTGTGGGCTCTGGACCAGGCCCACCACGCCCGCCCTGGCTCCAGCAGGCTTCCCTGTCCGACGCCTGGCAAACCTCAATCTCGACGCCTGGCAAACCTTGACCTCAGACACCCGGGTTTTCATCTGGGGTGCAGAATGTCCTCAGCCCGCCTCACACAGAAGGGCTTTCTGACTTTGCCTTCCTGACTCGGGGCGCCCGCCACTCCCTCTGCCTGTGATGTTCACCGCCAGACCTTCTCATTCTTGCTTTCTGACTTTTTCAGGTCCCACTTTACCCAAAAGTCATATCCTTTGTCTGGCCACCCTTAGGGTGACCTAAGGGACACCCATTGCCAATCTCTGCCCCAGGTCTCTCAGCCTGGACAGACAGCCTGAGGGATGGACCGTAAGGACAGTTAACAGCAGCCACGGCTTCTACCCACCGGGTGACGGGGCAGCCCCCACCTCTAGTTTTCAGAACCAAAAATGTCTCCAGATGTTGCCAAATGTTCCATGGGGGGTACAATCTCACCCCAGCTGAGATCTACCACTCTAACCCTTGATCTTGCGCTTTTCTTTAGAGCAGTCAGTCACACTACTGAAAATTAACCTGGCACCGAACAGATGCTTAATGTGTGAAAAACTAATAGGATGAGATATGGTGCCAGACTCAATAGGGTGCCCTTCCCTAGCTGGTCTGTCCCTAATAGTTTCTTAGCTTAGAAGCAAAGTACATCTGGAGACTCAGTCCCTCGAGGCCACCCTCGTGGTGCAGAATCTGGGCTGTGGTTGTTCTCTGTCACAGCGTCTGTGAGTGGGAGGGAACCTCCAAGGGGCCTCAGAGGCCTCCAGACGCACCTGGCTTCCTGCCTTCCCATGGGTTTTGCATCGTGACTCGCTGTCTTCCTTGTGCATCTGCAGGGCTAGTGCGGGGTTCTGTGGACAAGAGCAGCTCCCTGTTCCCAGCTCAGAGGCCCCTGCAGAGTCCCACATGTGAAAAGGGTCTCTAAACAAAGCCCTGACAAGGGAAGATGTATTCTGCCTAGACAGGCCTCAGCAGCTTAAGGGAACCCTGTGGTCAAGCTGCCATAAAGACAGCTGCTTCACAGAGGAAGGACAGGACCAGGGGACCCGAGCCTCAGGTTCTTCCCCCATTAAACATGAGTGAAGATGGCCTCCCACTTCCTCGGGCCTGTGACGCTTTCTTCACGTGCTGGGAGCCTGTGCTCTAGGGCTGGAGACCTGGCCCCCTGCCCTGGGCTTCCTCCCTCGCACACTGACATCTATGGACAGTTCTTCCTCTTCTCCACACTCGTCCATACAATGAGGATGATAACAACAGTCACAGCAAAAACAACAACACCGACATCACGGTGTGGTGGCTACAGCATTTATTGATCACTCAGCACGTGCTGAAAAAGACTAAGCTTTTTATGAGGATCATCTCTCTGAATCCTCCCAATGAGCTCTGAGAAAGATATTTTTATTATCGCTTATTTACAGATGAGGAAACTGAGGCACAAAGAAGTGCTACCCTTTGCCCAAAGTCACTTGCTATGAGTTACAGAACCATAATCCAAGCCACGGAGTCTGGCTGGATGCCCAGGCCCCTAGCAGAGTGGCCGGCACAGAGGGAGAAGTTGGTAGATGGCATCTCTGTTCGCCAGAGCTCATGGGCTTCCAAGCCGGGAGACACCTGCTCTCCACCTGCACTGCCAGCCAGTGGCAGGAGTCAAGCCTACAGGGCAGGAGGGCTGGGCTGGAGCGCTGTCCTCAGACCTCGCGCAGCCCCGACCCTGGAGCAGAGCCTGCCCGGCACATAGGGAAGAACGAGGCTGAACGTGGGCCCACACCCGGCGGGGCAAGCATCCCTGGTGCCTTGGTTTCCTCACCTGCAAGAAGTCAGTATTCCCTCCCGGCAAGGACGAGACGAGCAGATGAGGCACGAGACGGTCATGCCTCACTCAAGCTTGGGGAGATGCCGTCAGCACCATTGTTAGACTCGCGCAGCGGCGGGACAGACGTGGGCCGGGTCGGGCACGGGTCACTCGGCACGTCCCTCTCGGCCCCTCCCGCCAGGCGGGCAGACTCTGGGCGGGACGCGCGGGGCCGTGCTGCCACGGTGACCCTGCGGGTGATGGATGTGTCTTCGCCAGCTGGACAAGGAGGGGGCCTGGCAGGCCATGTGCCCGAGGCTCTCCCAGAGGCTGCTCCTGGGCGTTGCCCCGCTGGGCCATTTAATATAGATGTTTGTTTAACCAGGAAATGAACTCCGAGGTTGACGGCAGTGTCCAGGGACAGACTTCTGGGAACAGGGTTCCTCCCAGGAGTGGGGGCCGGGGCGCCAGGCCCACGCTATCACCTTTCTCAGACTGACGCCGTGGGTGTTACATGAGGCGGCCACCGGCCCCTCTGCCCAAGGCGGCTGCAGCTTATCGCCCCAGTTCCCCAGGGCCGCCCAGTCCACACTTCCTCCCCAGGCCCCCACACACTGACCGGACCAGCCCGACCCGCGCGGCGTGGGAGGGACAGGACTCCGTCAGGGACCCTTGGGCGGACAGTGGGTCACAACAGGAAGAGTGAGGAGTCCCGGTCGTCTGCCTCCATGCCTCAGTTTCTCCAGCTACACAGCCTCCTTCTACAACAGCAGCTCCCCAAATGTGGCCTGAGAACCCCTAGGGTTTTGGCCTCCTTTTTCCAACGACCTCTCTGTGGGAGCCTGGCTCTTCACTGAACTTGACCAAACTCTGACAGAGTGCAGGAGCGGCTGCCTTCCGTCAAGCCTGCAGGACTGAAATTCACAAAAATGTAAAACAGTATCAAGCACCTCACTAATTTGGGGGGAAACAATTCTTTTTCATAAAAAATGTTCCTGGTATTAATAGGCAATGGGTTTACGAATGTTATTTTTTTTGAGTCAGTTGAAAGAAAAGATAGATGTTTTATATCGTTCGGTGTTACTTGATCCATAGATGTCACAGAAGTCTCTTTTGGGTCCTCAATCATTTGTAAGGGGGTAAAGCCCGAGACCAAAATCTGAGCACTGCTGTTTTAGAGATTGTGGAAGGCTCTTTATTCTTGGCGAAGAGCTAGGCTGGAGGGAGGCACCACTGTCATTGAGTAACAGTAGGAACACATGATGACAACACCACTGGTGAGAAGCAGGCCAGTGACCCCAGGCTTTACGACCTGGCATGTGCCCAGGGCCACATAGCCTTTGAAGGAGCTGGGCCCCAAAGCTCCTTTTCTGTCACCTCTCCTCCCTGCTTGTGAGCCTCCTGGGTCTACACCTGCTCTGACTTCAAACGGCGTCTCCCTCAGCTCCTTGTCAAGCCCTGAGCCCTGAGGTCTTGGTTTGACACCTGACCCCTACCTGGGCTCACCTGGGCTCTCTCCTCTCAACGCTATAATCTTCGGTCTCGTCTCCTTCTCAGACAGCTTCCATTTACATCGAAGCTCACCCCCGGGCTTGTCCACACTCAGAACCATCTGCCTCAGGAG